TGTTCCCGGCCTCATACTTACTTTTCTTAGCCCCACCTAAATTTTAAGGCAGTAGCAATCCTCTGGGCACGGGCTGGAGTAGACACTGAGCACCTGGACTCATTCACAGCACCCAGACCGCTTAAGGCCCCTTTGTTTCTGGAGTGATTGTGCCTCACAGCTGTGGAGGCTAAAGGAGCTGTGGGTGCCCAACCAGGGCACCAGACTCAGGCGCAGGCTCAGGCCCTGGGTGTGGAGTCTTCAGGGAGCTGTGCGGACACGAGGAAGGGGCTCCAGCCTGTTCCTGGAAGCAGCTGAGTGTCAGGTCCAGCTGTAGTGGCAGCTGCTGACCAGGGATGGCCACACTTGCAGGGGTGTCCTTGTCAGATTGTCCTGTGTGCTTGTTTTTCTGAGACTCACCTGTACCCCATAGCCAGCAGAGCTGGTTTCTTGTGTTGGCATGTGAAGCTCGTGCATGGTGGAGGCACTGCAGGAATCGTGATAGACAGGCGTGTGCCCAGAGACACCCAGCGTCATGTGTGTAAGCACCCCCCCCCCCATTCGGACCTTGTGCTTGTCCTGTCAACTGGCGGGGACCACAGGATTTGGTGGGCTCACATGTGTCCTGTGATGTCTTCAACTCCTGGGGCCTTGTGACTTGGCCAGTGCAGTGCAGTAAGCAGAAGGGAAGCGGGGCACAACCTGTGTTCCGGACCAAGCTCCCTGATCCCTGATTGCTGGCTGGCTGTGGAACCTCTGAAGCCAGGTCTTCTCGTCTGCGAGGGGCCGTGAGACGCTCCTGTGGTGTAGATGTGACAGTTCTTGTACAAGGCTTGCTGCTATGTGGACACAGAGCTTTACTGTGAGAAAGGAGGTGCTGCCTCAGTCTTTCAGGAAGGAATGATTCACCAAGAGGTCTGCCTGTTTGCCCTTTCAGTGACTTCTGCCACAGCATTTTTACTTCCTGGAAGAACATGGGGATGGCTTCCTTTCCTAAATCTATATTCCATGCTGTTTAGTGGCAGTCTGGATGGCTTGTGAGTAATTAGTTTAAAAGAAGAAAAAAAGTAAAAAGCAGCTGATGTCTTGATGTGATGAGGCTTTTAGGAATATGTGTATTGACTTTAATTAAGCAAAAGACTGAGTTTATCTTGACCAGAAGCCTCTTCTCAGAGAAGCAGGCACAGGGGGGAACGTGCAGGCAGCCTGAAGCATCGAGTTGGCATTGATTGTTTGAGCATCCCTGCAGTTTATAGTAAATGCATTTACGATTCTGGGCTCTTCCTGGAATCCAGGCGGTAGCTGGATGTGACTTGCGCTGTGTGACAGGAATGGCATATAGAAAAGCCACAACTCTGACTTGCTGACTGGAGAAAATAGCAGAATTTTGTATTTCTCATATGTCATCCTGGCTGCAGGCCACCAGCTTTCCAGCATTCTGCCTCCTTTATCAGAATCAGGGTCCCAGGGCCCGGAAGCAGCATGGTCTTGGCAGCTGCACATCTGAATCGCCGCTGTGGCTGTGGAGGGGAGAAGCTGAGGGATGCCATGGCTGAGAAAGACATGAGCCCGGCTCCCTTGTATATGCCAGTCTCCGTGGGGTCCGTGCCCTGCAGAGTAGGCCATGCCAGCGCCCCCGGCACACGGCGCCTGAGGAGCGCGTCTCGGGGCCCACACGTGACCAGGCTGCTCCACAGTGGTTCTCTGGGCTCCAGAGTGGGCCTGGGGTGAGATCAGCCTCCTTGAAGCCCGAGAAACAGTACTGGTGACGGGGCACATAGAGCTGCTGCTTTCCCTGTGGAAGAAGCAGGCCTGGATTCGGGAGCCCGGCGTGTGACTCCCAGTGCACACGCTGGCTGTGGCTACCATCAGGGCCTGCTGTGAGAGCTGAGCATAGGTGCTGGGGTGCTTTGGTGCACATTCGTCCTTGTCCTCTAGAACTGCATTCCACCAAAGCGGAATCAGCTTAGTAGAAATTGTGCTCTCGATTGGCGTGCTTTCCCAGCACACGCGCTCGGGCACTGTGCGCATTGCCTTATCTCACCTGACAGCCTGCTGCATCATGCCGCACTCACAAGAGAGCTTTCAGGCTTAGCAGTGTGAGCTAACTTTTTTTTTTCTTATTCTTGTGGGTTTTTTTTTTTTTCTTCATTTTTTACCCTTTTTAAAAAACCCAAAAAACAAAAAACCCCTTTACTTAAGAGACAGTATGGTAATAATTGGTATATCATGACAAGAAGTACATGTTTAGAAGCCCAGGATGGCAGGCACTCCAAGCGTGGCCCTTCTGTTACACATTGCCATCCTCAGTGCAGCTGCCTGGCTCGCGGGCACCAGCATATACAGTTAGTCAGGGTGAGAATCCCACCCCCAACCACAGTACTGTGAGCTAACTTGCCAGAGAGCATGATGGCCCCGGTGGGGAAGCCAGGGCCACACCCAGCTGTGCTGGCGGAGCCTTGGGAAGCTTCTGCCAGGCTCTGTTCTCGCTCTCTTTTGTTTGTCTTCTGCTCATCCTCTTGACCCTTCATGCAGGTATGCAGCCGCATCAGTCCTCCAGCAAAGTCTTAACGGCTTCCGCACCCGCAACCACCTTTGGCAAGGGCGTTGTGCATGAGGCTTGGGAGGCCTGCACCCACCCTTTGAGAGGTGTTTGCTCTCCAGCGAATGAAGGGGGAAACCTAGGCTCAGAGACAAAACCAGCTTCTCATGGCAGGCTTGCTGGGTGTCTGTCAAGCCCATGACAGGCAGCCTGCTGGACAGTGATGCTTCCTTGATCCTCCAAGTGGGCTTTCAGCGCCCTTTCACACAGTCACCTGGCGTGATCAGAATGAATGCCATATGGGAGAAGACAGGGTTCCCTGCTCCAGGACATACCTGTTCCATCTCAGTTTCCCCAGTCTGTTTTTAGCATGTAAACCTGGAACATGGTAGGGCCAGCCCCACATTGAAGTGATCATGTTTGTGGACACTACAGTGGTCTGTTTTTATTTCTTTCTTATCAATATTAAAAATGTAACTGTCGGGGCTGGTGAGATGGCTCAGTGGTCTAAAGCACCTACTTAGAACAAGCTTAGCAAAGCACAGAGACCGCGGTTCAATCGCCCAGCACCACATGCCAGCCAGCCCTGCCCACTGGTGGGCTAAGCTGGCCACACACACACACACACACACACACACACACACAAATAAATAAATAAACAATTTGAAAAAAAAATGTAACTGTCCTTCCCTTGTACAACTACTACCAGAATTTCAAAAGATGGCCTTGAAAATTTAGAAGTTTGTTTTCAGGACTGCTGCATTTTGAAGATAATTGTAATATCTGTGTATCACAGCTTGGCTTTGTTCCCTCCCAGGCCCACTATCAGATGCACTTGTCTCTTGAAAATAGTGCAGTGGGGCCGGGCAGATAGCTCAGCAGATTAAAGTGCCTGCAAGCAGGTGCAGGAGCTGGGGTTTGATCCCTGGGGCCTCCAGGGTGCGATGAGATGGCAACTGAGACTGGACGGGGTGGCGTGTGTGGTGGCACGCACCTGTAATCCCAGCACTTGGGAGGCTGTAAAAAGAGAGGCACTAAGAGTCCAATCTAGTAGTGAGACCCTGAACACCCTGTAGACCCTTCCTTAAAATATAAGAAAAAAGAATGCAATAAAGTAGAGCTACAGACTTTTTTTTAACCACAGAAAGAAATCCCCCCCCCCCCAACCGGGGATTGAACTCAGGCCCTTGCACTTGCCAGGGAAGCGCCTATTTTACTGAGCCATCTCCCTGGCCCCCCAAAAAACATCTTTGAATCCAAGCCACTGGCTTTTTCTTTCAAATCCTTGACCATTTTATAAGATGAAAAATTCTCTGCATTTAGCAGAGCTTTTGAGTACTCATTTCTATATTAGTGAATTGTATTCTTCTTAAAAATAGTTTGTGATAGGGCCAGGGAGATGGCTCAGTAGAATAAGTGCTTGCGTGGCAAGCGCAAGGGCCTGAGTTCAATCCCTGGTTCCGAAAAAAAAAAAAAAAAAATAGTTTGTGATTCTTACTGGTCTGTGCTAGCTTTTGAGCCGAAACAACACATCAGCATTTAGTAAATATCAAAATTGCCATTTTGGTACAAGGCAAGGTATATTTACATAATTAAAACAAGCTGAAGATGTAATGATTTGTTCTGTGACTCTTACTAAAAATTACTTTATCAAACTAGCCAAATGAAACTTATCTCATCTGAATTCATATTCCTACCTTCTGCATGGCCCACTGTCCTTTATTTTGCTGAAGGACCACCCGGTCCAGAGAGCCTTTCTGAGCAGAGGAGCCCTCTGCAGTGTGGGTACAGAGGCCCGGCCAGCTCCGAGGGACCCTGGCCGCCTCCTGCCCCTACCCCTCTGTTGCCATGTGATGCCCTGGCTGAAGTCTTAACTAAAACTGGGTTCTGGTCAGATTTGTTGAGTGATTTGGCAGGATGAAAAATAGGGCCAGTAATCAGTGCTAACCTGGGAACCAGTTTCAGCCCACTCAGCCAAGTTGGCAGGGCTGCCTCTGTAGAAATAGTTGGTGCTGTTATAGAGCTTCCAGGAATAAGTGAAAATCATTAAAAAGATGGGGGGGGGTGCGCCCACACGCACGCGCATGTGTGTCTAGACTGCGTTGAGAGATTGTTCCAAAGAAGACAAGAATGGACACCGCAGGTGCATGTCTGGAAGCCCTGCCTGTCCTCAGTGTGAGGAGAGGCTGCGGACAGGAAGGTGTGCTGTCTTGGCTTGCTTCAGCCTGTGTGCCCGTGCCAAGAAGTGGGAGTCTATCTTCCTCTCTCCGAGCACTGAGTCAAAATCTTACATTCACACCTGAAGATGGAGCTGTCTCTGTCTTCTGAATGTCTGAGTTCTTTTTGTTTGTTCACACTGCTTCCTCCCCAAGGCCTTTTCTTTCCTGCTTAGATTTGGGTTATTTCCTTAATGAAAATGTCATCTTATTTTCAGACCCTGTTATCTTTGAGCTGATTTATTTCTTGTTTTTGTTTTCAGTTCAGCTCTGAATGGGCTTTTGGAAGCTAGAGAAGAAAATTCAGTTTGCTTTGTGGGGAACGTTGGACAGCCGAATAAATGCAGGTATGTAGATTTGTATCTTTTTTAAAAAGGAAAATAACCAACTTTTAAAAGGATGAGAACTGTGACGCTGAACCTGTGGGACTTACATACGCTGCATTACAAATAAATCTCAAGCGTACAGTACAGTACAGACGTGTGGGAGGTACAGAGTGAAAACCAAAGTCTCCTTCTAATACCTGCCAGATTAGCATCAGCACTGCCCTGCGTCTTGCAGGTGTGCATGTGCGCATGCCTCGCCCAGAGGACCGTGCTTAGCCAGTGATGCTGTGCTTCTGTTTGCTGGGTGCATCTTCCGGCGTGGACACACGTAGCTTTCCGGCACCCTTTCAGCCGTTCTGGACATGCCCTGGTTAGCAGGCCCCCCTGCTGGATCTTGCCCGCTAATGGTGCTGTTGCTAGTGGTGCTGGATCTTGCCTGTATACAGGTTCCTGGCTGATTTCTGGGGACTGGTTGTAAACTGTCTGGCCTCCAGGGCAAAGGGACCTTGTGTTATGAAGCAGGCCGTAGCTATTGTTTTCTTTCTGTTATTTTTTGGCATGGGGAACAGGTGAGGTCTCAGTCTGTTTTATTTAGATCAGTAGTGCCTGTTGCACTAAACTTCCAGGTGCCTCAGAGCCTAGTCTCTTGGTCGATTTCCCGAAGAGTGGCTTTCAGGGTTAGTTTGGAGATACAGCCATTAAAATGAAATGGCCTCTGGTTTGCAGCCTTGAGGCCCAAGTGGCTCATGGTCATCCTCACTACTGTCCACCCCACGTGGCCTGCCTTACAAGGGCGTCCTGGGTCTTCCCTCCTGTGAACTTCTGTGCCTGGCTCTCAGGACAGAGGGGAACCAGTGAGGAACAGAACAGGCCTTGTCACAGGAACCAGGAGTGCCTCCTTACCTGACTCAGGCTCCTCCCCAGCTGCTTCTGTCTGTGCTCCCTCCTTGAGGCACTAGAGACAGGAAGTCAGCGGACTTTGAGTCTTGAGTGAGTCTCGCCCAGGTCTGCTCAGAGGTTACTTTTCCAGCGGCAGAGGTGGAGTTAGTAATTACAGATTCATCCTCCAACATCACTGCCCCCAGAACAGGCCATAGTTTTTTAGCTACAACTTTTGTGCAAATAGATAAAATAAGTTCAGACCAGCTCTGAGATTACTGTTAATTAATAAGCATGCATAATTAATTCCCACTTTTATCTCCTATGATTTTCAAGCATGGGAGGGAAGAACGAGGCAGAACTGGGGTTCTGTGCCCAGTAACCCCGCTGACCGCCTCGCGCTTTCCTCTGCCTAGGCACTCTCACCACCCAGTGACCACATTGTCTCACTTTCCTCCTCCCGCAGTATCTAAGTATAAAAGAAGACTGCAATGCTATGGCGTTCTGTGCTAAAATGAGGAGCTCCAAAAAGACCGAGGTGACTGAGGTGGCCCCTGAGCCTGGAGTGGAGGTGACCTTCTACCTGTCAGACCGGGAGCCCCTGAGGCTGGGCGCTGGCGAGTATACAGCGGAGGAGCTGTGCATCCGGGCGGCGCAGGAGTGCTGTAAGTGCGGGGCTGGGCTGGACGCTGGCTGACTTCGGAGTGGACACAGTGGCCCCCTCCTGCCAGGCTGCTGCTGCTGTATCACTCCTGAGCTGTGTTTGTGTGTAAGAGAGAGAGAGATGGGAGCAGTGTCAGCCCAGCACAGTGGCCTGCACGCCATGGGTCCCCTGATCCATCTGAGAGGGGCCCCAGGCAGTTTACGTTTCAGAGCAGGGGACTCTGGCAGCTTGTGCCTGCCTCCTTTGAAATGACAAGCCAAGCTGAACCGTTGGGCCTCGGAACTTAGTCTCAGCTTGAACCCTGTTAGGGAGCTGATGGTCGTACAGCTTGGTAGATACTCCAGGGCTCATTGGGTGCATGCTTGAAATGGGCTTCCTGTAGGTTGTGAATTATTTTTCAAGAAAACTGTTTGATGGTGACAAAGTTGCATGTTCACTCCTTTCTGAGAGGTGCAGCCACTTTCATGTGGTGTGGTCACTGTAAGACTTGCCTGCCCGTTGGTGCACAGCCTGCCCAGATCCCCTTGTCTGTCTGCTGTAGGTCCTCCTGCCTCAGCTGTTTATAGTCAGAACCCAGGAGAGGAAGTGCACCCCCACCTCCTGCTTGCTGAGCATCTTGGAGACATTTTGAAGTTATTTTGGCGAGACAGCAGCATGTACAGCAGCTCTAGACAGTGGCTATAACACATTCCTGTCAGCTTGAACCGTGGTGGCGCGCATGTGATTGTCGCATCGGCTGACTCAGGACTCTGGGACTGTCCCCTGCTGCCTGATGGCCAGTTGTGTGTGCACCATTGGTGGGTCAGTGCTGCCTGGCAGTGAGACTTGCAGATCGTCAGCTCAGCTTGAGTGTGTTACATGTGCTTGTCACAGACCCCGCTGCTGCACGTGAATCAGTGCTTCCGCAGCGCGTTTCAGGCCTTTTGCCTATAGTGCCCATTCCCGTCTGAGGCTTCCTGTGCAGGCCCTGACCTTACTCAAGGTGTTCGTAAGCATCACTTTTACACAACCGTGGAGCTCCTGTTAGTGGGGCGCTGAGGACCTGCAGGGCATGGGGTGAGAGCCTGTGGGCTGTGTGGCTCCCATTCCCTTGGGGTAAGAGTCCAGGCCTGGGCTCCAGAGGCTTAGCAGTGTCTGCTCTGTAGCTGGCTCGGGAATGTTAACAATACACAGGTGCTGAGTGCTGCAGATTTTTATAGCACTCCGGTGATCACAGCAAGTTGTGTTCTGGTGCGGTTGATTTCTCCCTGCCTTTGGGGAGACTTTTCTTAGTTCTTGGGGCTCTGCCCCCTCAGCATCCCCGTTTGGGTGTGGACCTCAGCCCTGGGTGTTACTGCTGTAGCCAGGGAGTCTTGACCAGGTGTGCCGATTGCAGGAGGCTGCTGCTTCCTTGTGAGATGAGGGAAGTCACACCTACCCACCGAGTGCTGGGTGGGTTAAGAGAAAAAATACAGTAAGTAGAATGCTAGCATTATATCTGACACATGGCCCTCAGTGGCTGTTAGTGTTGTTGAGTTTTGGTGCTTTCACATAGACCTTCCTGCTGGTGGGTAGTTGTGGGTAGGCAAGGTTGTTAGACTCAGACCTGTGCTGGACTTGCAGACAGTTCCATAGCTGCATGTAAATTATGCTTCCACTAGGATGTATACATTCAAATATAGATGTGGGCTGGATATCCAGCCAGCCCCTGCACATCAGTGGGGGGTCACAGGTCTTGGACTTCAGCAGTGAGTGGTGCCCTCCTCTCCCCAACTTGCTGTCATGCTTATTGATAGGCAGGCAGCCTGGGGTGGGGAGCATGGCGTGGTCAGAACAGCGGGCTTAAATGTACATCTTCTTACAGGTTGGATGCAAGTGTTTATGGTCACGGTACAGAGCACTTCAGAAGTGCCTTTATTATTCATGGCAACAGAGTTTAATCACTGGCAGAATCACCATGGGCATTATTTATTCCAACATGCATTTTGTGCGCTACTGCCAGGCACTGCTTTGCATATTTAATGCATACCACAACATTAGAATTGTTTAAACGTGTTTTGTAGGAAACAGTAAGGAGCTCACAACTCCCAAGAGTATTTCAGCCTGTGATTAGCACAGCGCACACCAGGTGGGGCATGTGAGCCCCTCTCATGGCTTTTTGCTCTTATAAACAGAAGCAGGATTTGGTTAGATTCTATCATAAGCACCTATAATGAGATGCACCATCAACTTTTCTCTGTACGTGACTTTAGTGCGATTTGCCAAGAACTTCGTGCATTTCCAGGAAATCGTGGTTGTCGATTAGTGTGATTGAAACTGCTAGACTGAACTTGATTGGAAGCTGTGTCAGCCTTGGGGGACCCAAGGAACCTAGGTTCCTCCTGGTCAAGAGTGTTGCCTTTGCTCAGGACAGGCGTGGAAATAGGCAGCAGTGTAACGTATGTCCCTGCAGGCTCTGATGCGTCCCTCTCTGCAGGTATTTCTCCTCTGTGTCACAACCTCTTCGCCCTGTATGATGAGAACACCAAGCTCTGGTATGCACCCAACCACATCATCACTGTTGATGACAAGATGTCCCTCCGGCTCCACTACCGCATGAGGTAGGAACCTGTCTATTCTCCTTCTGCACTGAGTCATTTGCTGAGGGTTACAGTCTTTTTTTAAAATGTATTTAGTTCAAGGTCTGCAGGGTCTCACTACACAGACAGGACTTGTAGTGATCTTCCTGTTTTCAGCCTCCCAAGTGCTGGGATTATTGGCAAACGCCACCATGCCCAGTCTCAGTTGTCATGTCAGCATGCCCTGGGGGTGGGGCTGGCACAGCACTGCAGGATTGAACCCTGGTCCCTGCGCCTTCTAGTCTGCTGAACTATCTCGCCAACCCTTTTTATTTTAACAGTCATTTTTGTAGTTTGTAACTTTTGCATTTGCTTGGTCTGAAGAAGGACCAGGATCTGGAGTCCAGCTCATGGCAAATGTGATTACCTTGCTCTGCTGTGGTTTGCAGCAGGTTTAGGACACCGATTATTTGAAAGAGCATGTACACCATCCAGCAAAGTGTCCAGAGGGTGAATTGTGGTTATGAGCTGAACATAGTAGTTTATGACCAGAACTGAAAAAGAAACAGGAAAGAGTAGATAACAGATGTTATCCTAAGCACATTGTTTTTTTTTTTTTTTTTTTGGGCAGAACCGGGGATTGAACTCAGGCCCTTGTGCTTGCCAGGGAAGCGCTTATTCCACTGAGCCATCTCCCCGGCCCCTAGCACATTGGTTTTTAAAACTTTTGAAGTATCTGATATATATGGATATACTAGGTCATGATATAAAATACATTTTTTACCAAAAGCTGCAGCCAAGAAGTAGCAGGAGTACTGCCTAAAATGGTAACTGAAGTTGACGGTTCTTATTGGGAGTGGTGTTTTGATCAGGGAGTACATGTCTGGGTGCAGGGGTATAATTTTTCTTCTGACGCGTATACCCCCCCCCCCCCATACTGCAGACTGCTTGGTGTCAGTGTCTTCTGAGCTCACGCAGTTATTTCTGTAGCTGCAGCCTCTTGCCTTTTACATAAGCATATCCTGTCATCAAAGACTTGAAAGTGAGTTAGATACTAGTTAGCACATGTCATATGGTCCACAGTGGAGCAGCTTGTATAGGGGAAGGACCCTTCTTGGGAAGGATCTTAATTTATATATATGTGATTAAATCAACATCTAGCTCAAATGCTAGTAAGGTGCAAGGACATGCTCTGAAGCCCTCTGCAGTCTCGGGGGTTTTCCACAGGATCTTAGCTATTCCCCCTTGGGAATTCAGTAGAGCTGTCGCCCTTCCAGAGGATGCTGTATTTTTCTGGAGGCTGATGCACACACCACTCTCCCGGTCATCTTAGGCCTGACTTTGCTTTTTTCCCTCAACTTACCTACCATTCTGCCTGGAGAGGCTCTAGACGCTTGTCCGGGGCGTGATTTCTCTCCCCAGATTGAGGGAAACATTGACACTGCCCAGCTGAGCCTTCTGACTATACTCAGATTGGCTTTTCAAGGTGTGTAGTCTTGAAAGGAGTGTGTGTGTGTGTGGGGGGGAGGTGTCGGGTCCTCATAGCTGGAGGCCCAGGCCTGATGGCCGCCGAGCCCTGGTTTTTCCCCTCTGGGTCTTGGAGCTTTGCTTAGAGTCCAGCCAGAGGTAGCATTTGGGACTTGGGACAGACCTCAGCTCACCTAGTTCACCTCCCCATTTTTCAGATGTGCAGACAAGAGAAGGCTCAGAGCTAGGGATTTGTCTGCCTGCCAGTGGTGCTGACCTATTTGAGCAGCTAAGTGTCTCTCATTCCCTGCTTCTGGTAGCTGCCAGGAAGTGCACCTTGACTTTGAACCTGACACTGCCCTTATCGGAATGTTTGTTAGTGAGATCTCTTTGGACTTGAGAGAAGCCATGCGGAGCTAAATCATTTGCACAGACTGCAGGAACTTGGAAACCTCATCTCCAGCCCAAGAAGGCCACAGTGTAGCATCAATGTTCCTGCTTATTTCAGGGGAATCCCAGCTCTATTTTGGTTGGGAAAGTTGTTTTTTTTTTTTTTTTTTTTTTTTTAATTTGAAAAGAAAACAGCAAAAAAATTCCAAAACAATGATAAGAAGGTAACAATGGTAAATACATTTGTTGTTACCTTTAAATTAGATACTCATACAAGATCCTGACATTTCATTGTCCAAATGACATCAGCATGAACCTCTTTGCAATGAACTAAGAGAAATTAGTGCTGTAGCTATCTTTTATTGTTTTGCTTTTCCCTCTCTTGTTTTGGGAAATATTCTTGAACTTTATTGTGGTTTCCAATTCTTATGCAATGATTTGCTAATTGCTTTTTTAAATTACTGTTTTATAGGTCATTGTAAGGCTATCATTCTTTATTCCTTTAGAAAGAAAAAATCCTGCTTTTTCACTCAAGTGCATTTCACTGTCCAGGGTGAAATCGAGTAGCAGCCTGGAGAATTTGCTGTCTCCAGTGTTCGCATTTTAACCCAGCGGAGCAGTTGGCTCTGCAGGCAGCAGCGCCTGCACCCCACGCACTGCCCTGCTCCGCAAGGGCGCGGGCAGCAGTCTCAGCACAGGTGTTTGCCAGTCTTTTCCACTGGTGTGTTATATTAGCAGGAATTTGTACATACCAAGTCTGATGAACACATTGGTATTTTAATTTGTATTCCTCTGTAAACTGACAGTTTTCACTATAATTAACATGTACTTATAGGATACAAAGTGATATGATGTATGAATATATTTGGAATAATTAAACCAAGCTAATTAATGCTTCCTCACCTCAAATATTTTTGTGGCAGGCACATTTAAAATATACTCATAGCCATTTTGAAGTGTGCAGTGTACTGTCTTCACTGCATTTACCATGCTGTGCAGGTCTTTTTTTTTTTTTAAAGAAATGTATTCATTCTGTCTGATATGTTACACTGTGGAGCCAGTGCAGGGTCCCGGGAGAGTGGTTTTGACCTCAGTGACATCAGTGCTACCCTGTCCTCTCCGGGGGCTGCTCCTGAGTTTGCTCTTCTGTGTCATTTTTCTGTCAGGTGTGTGAGCAGCACCTGTGTGTGGGACGTGGGGACCAGTGGTCTGTGCTGTGCTGGGCCCCCTGTGCCGGCTGTGGGGACCAGTGGTCTGTGCTGTGCTGGGCCCCCTGTGCCGGCTGTGGGGACTAGTGGTCTGTGCTTTGCTGGGTCCCCTGTGCCGGCTGTGGGGACTAGTGGTCTGTGCTTCGCAGGGTCCCCTGTGCCGGCTGTGGGGACCAGTGGTCTGTGCTGTGCTGGGCCCCCTGTGCCGGCTGTGGGGACCAGTGGTCTGTGCTGCGCAGGGCACCTCCTGAGCACCCGGCCCACAGCATGGTATCCTCTGGTCTCAGCTCTGCTGATTTCTTCTTTCCTGGACAAGCAACCCATTCAGCAAGTGCTGAGGACCCAGCCATTGTTTAACTTACTTTAAAACCCTACATTGGGGTTGGTTCAGGTGGTCCATTTTCACACATTGCGACCCAAAACCTGAAGTGGCAGTGGCAGAGGGAATCAGTGGGAGGAAAGCGGCTCACCCAGCACCCGGGGTCCCCACATGGTGACACTCACCCTGCTGCCTTGCAGGTTCTACTTTACCAACTGGCACGGAACCAACGACAGTGAGCAGTCAGTGTGGCGCCACTCTCCCAAGAAGCAGAAGAATGGCTACGAGAAAAAGAAGGCTCCTGATGCAACCCCGCTTCTCGATGCCTACTCACTGGAGTACCTGTTTGCACAGGTGGGATGCTGGGGCTCAGCAGAGCTGGGCCCTCCTGGGGCGACATGTCCCCGGTGGCTCTCCAGGCCTCGCTGCTTCTCAGTCTCCTTATGGTCCCCTCTTACCCTTGTCGCCCACAACACTTTGTGTGCAGAGGCCGCTGTCGTCTGGGCTAGCAGAGCTGTCTGCGAGGAAGGGTGGGCCACTCTGGGAGGAAGGAGGAGGGAGGGTAGGTTCCCGGAACAAGCGTCACTGCCCAGTTTTGACAAACTTGATGACATGTCTTGCGCTGTGTACCATGTAGCTTTTGATTTTTATTTTCTCATTCTGCAAGTGGTCCCTAAAACACTAGTCTTGTGGTGTTTCTGGCCGCGAAAGTTCATGTGTTGAGCAGTGTTCCTGGAAGTCTGTCCCGCTTGCCCAGCATGGGGCTTCTGGGGCAGGGCTCAGTCTTGCCTCAGCACAGGTATCCTGAAGGCAGACACCAGCGGACAGCACACAGCGAGCTGGGAGGCACCTGGAAAGCCATGAGCTTTGGGGATGGCGAGTGTAGGGCTTTTGTGTTTAGTCTTTAAAAAGATTCTCAGTGGGTGCTTGCAGCCTCCAGCGACTGTGCTGTTGGTGTGGAGTTGGTGCATGGGTGTCACACACCTTCCTTCTCCCTCCCTTTGCAGGAGCTCTGGAGAGACCTGGTGTAGGTATTGGGGCAGGGAAAGTCTGTAGGGACAGAACACCACTGGGGAGAGTCTTGGGGGATGGGAGGGAGCCTGCGGGCTATAGAGGGAGGAAAGGAACAGAGGAAGTACCGCTTCCTGTTGCATTTCCCAGCAGCACCCTCTGTGAGCATCAGTGTCCAGGCTGTGTGGCTGTTGTGGGGAGAGACTGTCCTGTGCTGGGTCAGACAGTCCCCACATGCCGGCTGTGCCCTCTGCATGCCAGCGGAGGCTCCAGTACTTCATGCCCCTCCCAGCCTTGACAGCCAGCACTGTCCTCACACACTGCCCGAGAACCCCTCACCCTGACCTGAACTGTCTGGTGCAGAGGAAACTGATGTGGGGAGGCCTGAGATGCCGTGAGTGGGGTGGGGTGGAGGTGGATGACAGGTAGGGTCCCCAGGAGTCCTGTTGCCCTGGCAAGGGGGACGTGGACACCATCAAGATTGTCTGACCTTCCTCCATGTGAGCCTGGGATAGTTCTTGGCACATGGGTGTGGGTTATGCCTGGTCAGGGACAGCCCTGGACCCCAACTGTGTGTCCAGAGGAGCAGCCCAGCAAGAGAAGGCGCCACCTAGGCCTAGCGTGGTGGCAGTCCAGTCAGAGACTCAGGCAGGTTGCGGGGGCATGGGAGAGTGAGGGCTCAGCGATGAGGTCTGAGTTTCTGTTTGGATCCTGTTGGCTAGGAGTGGAGTCATTGCCTCCAGAGGAAGTCTGGGGAAGTTGCTGAGGAAGGAATGAAAATTAAGTTCTCTTCTGGAGAGGTGAAAGCGGTTGGGATTTGAGATAGGAAAGTGAGTAGTAAGTTGGGCATTTTCGTTTTCTTTTAAAGTTTTCCCTGGGCTGTGGGTGTTGTAGGCCCATGTACACAGGTTTCTGTGCGTGCCTCTCAGTTCCTCAGGATGTGCTTTTCCACACAAGTCAGTGACGCCACTGTGCAGCTCTAGTGCTGATTGGCACTGCCCCATTCCTCAGGGGTCTTAGACCTTCCCCAGGGATGGTAGGCGAGTGAAGTGAGACAGTATGCAGCCTGAGGAAGCCACCACGTGGAAGAATAATCAGTAAGAAAATAGGTCTTTTGGGACTTGATTTCTTTCTTTTTTCTTTTTTTTTTGGTGGAACTGGGGATTGAACTCAGATCCTTGCTTTTGCCAGTCGAGCGCTTATCCTGCTGAGCCATCTCCTTGGCCCCGTTGGGACTTGATTTCTGTTTTAAGTTTCTGTATCTGCCATTGAGATTTTGATCTGGCTCAGCTGAAGTGTGAAGGAAATGAACCATACCTCAGGGATGGAGAGTAAAGGCAAGACAACCAGCGAACTCATTCCTGAATTCCTGAGATTCAGGAATGATTTCGTTGAAACACCTGAACGTCTTGTTATCATAGAACCACTCTGTCTAGCAAAAACCTGGCCACAGCCCTAGCATTAAGCTCTGCTCTGCACCCCCCTAGTGGCTGAGGTTTCTCACTGTTGCTGGCTCTAAGGACTCTGGAGAGCTGAGCACTGGCCCTTCTTACCTGAGAGGGACAGGAAGTCTTATTGGGCCTGATTCCAAGCATTATGAGGACTGACCATAGAGCTCTTGGTGCTGTCCTTCAGGTAAAGCAGCCATCCTGGCCGGCCACTCATGGCTGCTCCCATGACAATCAGGAGACCACAAGGAGGTCATGGCCCTTGGGTGCTGCAGACCCAGCATGGCTGGGTAGGGCTAGGGAGGATGGTCCCCAGTTCACTGAGCCTGGCCTGTGTGACACCCTCCTACCTGGCTTCATGCTGTGTAACCGACTGCCAGTAGATTCTCCTAAGTCTCTTTCTTTCTCCTTAGAGGTCAGAAACATGGTTTAGTTTATTGCTCCATCCCTAGTACCCAGAATAACCTGTGGCTCCTGACTGGCTCCCATGATAACCAACTGAGTACGAGGCCTAGGGGAGCCATGGGACTTTTGCTGCTAGTACCAGAGGGGCAGTGGACCACGAGAGGAGCTGGCTCTGCCACGCTGGTTGTCTTGCCTTCTATTATGCTTGTACAGTTCTGTTGGCGCAGAATGCGTCCGCCTCATCAGTGACGGAGTGGGCCCTGCTGACGCAGCTGACTGGAACCGAAAATGGTGTGGAATCGATGTGCTATAGAATGGGGGTTCCTTCCTCTTCTGGGGACAGGAAGTGGGGCTCTGTCAGCTTCCTCGTTCTGCACGGCCATCTGTTCACTCAGAGTGGTCAGACCCAGGCCAGCGTCACCATTCCTCACTCTGGCGCCACTTGGGTCTGGTGCACACTGCTTGGCAGCAGCACGTATATACTGAGCCCACAAGGGGCGGCCAGTGTTTGTGTGTGCACACTGCCTGGTGTGGTGTTCTGATGGTGCTTTAGAGAGGGAGGCACTCTCAGAGGGCGCCTACGCCCAGCTTTGTCCCCACGGACAGCACCCCTGCTGGGGAGAGTGGCCATAGCCACTGTTTGGCCACATGTGGAGTGGGGCCCCTCTCCTCACGCCTGACACTTGCAGCTCCTGAGCTGACACACACTTCACTCTCTTCTCTCTGCCCATAGGGACAGTATGACTTGGTCAAGTGCCTGGCTCCCATTCGCGACCCCAAGACGGAGCAGGATGGGCACGACATCGAGAACGAGTGCCTGGGCATGGCTGTCCTGGCCATCTCGCACTATGCCATGATGAGGAAGATGCAGCTGCCGGAGCTACCCAAGGACATCAGGTGCACCCCATGGGCCCATGCCCACCTGCACCTGCCTGGCGGGTCAGGACTCCACCCATATCTCTTAAGTCCCGACTCTTGAGAGGTCCAGTGAGCTGTACCAGGGGAAATTTCTGCGCCGAGTGCTAATGAAATGAATGATCCCAGCTCTCTGCCCGTGTGGGTCTCCTATGTGAACACCCTTCCTATGTTCTTGATCAGCTGCTAGTGCTGCATCCCCAGCCCAGGCTCCATGGAGCTCTGGTGGTACACTGGACAGTGCTTAGTTCTCATGGGTCCAGGAGCACCAGGTACTCAGTTAGCGTAATCCCACCTGTCTATGAAGTGCAATAGTTTTCTTTTTCTCACATTGGGTTATTGAGATTGTCACGAATTGATTGAGACTAGGTCTGGCTCTGTAGTCCATGTTGGCCTTGAACTCGAGGTTACCCTTCTGCCTCAGCCTCCAGAGCGGTGGGAGTACAGGTGTGCTGCAGCATGCCCAACTAAAGACTGGTCATTTTTAAGAGATTATTGAAGGTTGCATGGTATCTTGATAGGTAGCATGTCTTCTCTAGAGCAGATTGCCTTCTCCTCGCTCTGGACCAGTAGCAGTGCCCAGGATGAGTAGGTACATGCAGAGTGGCTGTTGTTCTGGTTTTCTGTGACTTTGAGTCTGGGCCATTTTTCTTGATTTTTTTCACAAGGCTAAAGTGAAAACTGACAACTGCTCTCTAATTCTGTCCACTGTGCTATATGAGTTTGAGTCTGCTGTTGCGAACGTGTTCGTCCCGAAGGATGCCCTAGGCTGGGCCCTGGGCACAGCAAACAGACTTTTTTCCCACAGACTCTGCTTCCTTTCATCCTGGTGCCTCTTCCTGAGTACACCGCTGTGCCCAGACTGTCGTAGGGCAGTGCTGACAGTGATGCGCCCAGCCTGTTGCCCTGGACCCTTTCTCACTTGTACTGCTGGGAAACCACCTTCCCCTGGCGAGTTGATCCATTGAGCAGTGCACTGGGGGGCACGTGCGCATGGCGGGTATGAGCCGGCTGTGTTCAGTTAGCCTTTGTGCATTTTATTTCCTGCATCAAGCTCTGATCTTGGTGGAAGGCTATCATCAGGGAGTTGCACCTGAGGGCCCCTTCAGCTCACAGGTGGCCGTGCCGTGCTGCTGCTTCCAGAGCACGCTGTGGTCAGTGCCCAGCCCTGTGTGTCCACACGTACCCCAGTACACCAGAACAGTGGAACTGGCAAGCCAGGAGAAGCAAATCACTTTTGCTGCCTGCCCTTGGGGCCTAGGACACTAAGTGACGCCTGTCAGAAGTCCATGGCCCTAACTTTGGTCTCTGTCCATCTCCATCTGCTGTCATTAGCTTCCACCTGCCGTCTTCTCACCTGGCAGTCCATTCCAGGAAGATGCATAGACCTAGTTTGTAGACGACTTTTTGCCATCCTGTCCATGAAAAATGTAATTTTCCTTTTTCCGTTCTTTTATTTTAAAGCTACAAGCGATATATTCCAGAAACGCTAAACAAGTCCATCAGACAGAGAAACCTTCTCACGAGGATGCGGATAAATAATGTTTTCAAGGATTTCCTAAAGGAGTTCAACAACAAGACTATCTGTGACAGCAGTGTGTCCACACACGACCTGAAGGTGAAGTACCTGGCCACACTGGAAACGCTGACGAAGCATTACGGGGCTGAAATATTTGAGACTTCCATGTTGCGGATTTCATCAGAAAATGAGATGAATTGGTTTCACTCGTCTGATGGCGGAAGCGCGCCTCTCTGCTATGAAGTAATGGTGACCGGAAATCTTGGGATCCAGTGGCGGCAGAAGCCACATGTAAGTGATTGCAGGTGGCAGAGAAGACCCGTGCCTCGTGGTGCGTGCTGTGTAGCCTGCCAGGGTTATGCCGTGCATGTCTGTCTCCCCTCAACCCAGTCTCCTGAAGGCAGGGCCTGTGGGCTCATCGTCAGGTCTGCTGTCTGTGGCCACGTGACCTGGGAAGGGGGTTCTTCAGGGGTGTGGAGGGCGGCCCCTGCAGTGTGTGGTGGCATATGAGAACAGCATTCATTTACTGGCTGTTACTGTGTGTTGAGTACATTTCATTTCGTTGATTTCTAAAAAGAAAAAACTCTTCAAGGGCAGCACTTACCTGCTGTCTCCCCTTGAAGATGAACTCGGAGAGGCCCAGGAAGGCAGGCCCCTGCCAGGTCCTGCGGTGGCAGTCAGGCCCCAGCGAGGGTTTGTGCCTTGAGCTGCTTGGTGGAGGTGTTTGGTGGGTGAGGCTGTGGTGTGTGGAACCCAGGGAGACCCAGTCCAGTTGCTCTTCTGCACCCACAGCCTGTGGTTCTGAGTGGGTCACTTTAGCAGCCACTGCATGCTGTTTACCTATTAGGTGTTGGCCCTCTGCACCCACACTGGGGTTAGTTGTGGGCTGTCCAAGATTCCAAGAGGCATGGAGGGCCAGGTTGAGTGACCTGCATGCCCTGTGTGCCAGTCTTCTTGTGTGACAGTGCGGTGTAAAGAGTTGTTCTGCTGTGCCTCTCAGGGCCGATGGTCCATGCGAGTCCAGCACGGAAGTGGCTCTGGGCCTGATTTAGGTCAAGCCTCTGGCTGGACTCAGGCCACCTGTCCTTACTGTGTCTAACTCATAGTGTGGGGAGGGAAGTGAAACGGAGCTTCCAAGATAACCTCGTGTGTAATAAATGTTGGAGAAATTGCCAGACTGCGCTCATGATTGCTGAGGCCGTAATGCTAAATTACACGTGAGATTCACTTTCTTCAGCTTCACTTGAATGCTAAAATATAGCGCCTTCTACTTTCCCGGGCTGTCTCTGAAATAGGTGCTGTGCTCAGGAGCCTGTGTAGATGTGGCCCTGCTTTGTGCATGGGAGTAGGGGCCCAGGGAGAGGACCTAATGGTCGATGTCACAGGGGGCGGCTGGATCTCAACTGGGACTGCTGCTCCTGTCCTGCAGTGTGTTCCTCGGTGTGGAGTACGGATACCTCGAGAGAGTCAGGACAGGGTTCGGCCCTGCCTGGGAGTCCCAGGAAGGATGTCCCCTCTGTGTGTGTGGAAGCACTGGCTCAGGCTGGTAGCCAGCGGACCTGACCACAGATGGGTGTTCTGTGCCTTTCGAAGGTGACACACACTGTCAGGAAGTGTTGGGCAGTGTGGCCCCTGTGGTCTCCCATGTGATGCTCCAGTACTCCCGGTGGGACTCGACAATGCCCCGGCTTTCTGCCCTGTGGGGCGCAGCTGTGCTGAGGTTCCAGGAGCCCTGAGCTTTCCCTTCATGAAAGAGAAAGCCAGCTTATTTCTGGCACTTGCATGTGTTTTATCAGGTTGTTCCTACTGAAAAGGAAAAAAATAAATTGAAGCGGAAAAAGCTGGAAAACAAACACAAGAAGGATGAGGAGAAAAGCAAAGCCCGGGAAGAGTGGAGCAGCTTTTCCTACTTCCCAGAAATCACACACATTGTGATCAAAGAGTCGCTGGTCAGCATTAATAAGCAGGACAACAAGAAGATGGTGAGTTTCTGCCAGGCCATTGGGCCGAGGTGGGCAGGTTGTGGTTCTCACAATTCCTGTCTTGGAAACTGTCTGATGCTGTGACTTAAGCCCGAAGGTCCGTCTCCAGGCATGATTGCTGTTGGCTGAGTCACACTGCCCAGTCCAGCAGCTTTTTTCGGTCCTGCAGATAGGACCAACTCAGGGCTGCTGAGAACCGGAGAGCCCCCAGCAATCATGTGTCCTTCATGGATGCTTGTGGGTGTGCAAGGAAAGAAGCTTGGCGACCATCAGAGTTTCTTTGGGCAGGGTCATCTGGGATGGGCGGGGCACTTGGGCAAGTGGTCACGGGAGTGACAGACCTCCCAGGTGTTGGCACACCCAGCCGCTCTCAGGCAGCCAGGCTGTTTGTGCTCACTTCCTCTTTGGTTTCACACGGGGAAGACATCTAGATGTGCAGGTTGCTTTGCAGGGAAGTGGGGCCCTGCCTGAGTGAACAAGTTGTGTTGGAGGAAGTCTGGTGAGGACAGGTTGGTGAGCTGGGCACGATCCTGGTGAAACGAAGTTCACATTTGGCCTGCCACAGGGCAGACACTGTGTGGGAAAGGTGAGCCTGGCCGTGTGGCCTAGGGCAGCTGGTTGCTGTCTGACCTGTGGAGTAACTTACCTTTCTGGCAGGGCATTCTGGAAAATTGGGTGACTTATGCTAAAAGCCATGAAAATCTGTGTTCTCCCATTTGGTGTCCAGGACTCTTTCCCAGAGCAGGGTGAGCTGGGGACAGTGATTGGTCAATCAGGGTGACCGTGCAGCTGTGGCCTTTGGTGTCAGCGTAGTGAGGACAGCCTAGGTATGTGGGGAGTGGGGAATGGAACACAGACCTCTGCTCACTGAGGAGCACCCCTTCGCACAACCAGATGGCCCAGTTTTTAATTGATCTGTGAGGATGTTTTCTTACGTGGGGAAATAAATCAATATAAAAGTTTATCTGGGGCTGGAGAGATGGCTCAGTGGTCTAAAGCACCTACTTAGAACAAGCTTGGCAAAGCACAGGGACCGCGGTTCGATCCCCCAGCACCACATGCCAGCCAGCCCCGCCCCCTGGTGGGCTGAGCTGGCCACACACACACACACACACACACACACACACACACACACACACGATAAGTGTAAAAAGAAAAAAAGTTTATCTGGATTGGTGCTAATTTATTTAAAAAATTTGGAAGAGGTAAGCATGTCTGTACCATGCACTTAGAAAAATAATCACTTATTAAGAGTTCTTATGGTGGGCTTATCAGGGAATTTTATTTTCTTCCATTTTCCCTGTTTTTGTAAACATTAATTGTATCAGAAGAATGTAGTCAGAACTAAGTAAAGGGGGCAGAAAAGCCCAGTGATACATTGGTAGAAAGATGGAAATGGAGGGAAATTGCTTAATGCTTTTATTGAGTTCTAGTGGTGACCTGTGTTCTCTGCATGTCCTGCAGGTGCTGAGGTCCTGCACCTGTTTCCTGCTCTACAAGAGCACCACAGATGTAGGTTGTCAGCTCTGCTTCTCTGGGGCCCGGCCACTGCAGAGAACAGGCACTTGTGCAGGGTCACAGTGGGAGGAGGGAGTTGGCCAGTGCTGCCTGGCTGTGACCTGTGCTTTTCGTGCCACTCTGGTCCCTGGGGACTGAGAACTGGGAGCAACCAAGACACAGGAGAAGCAGCAGACTTCAACAGAGGTGGCGGTGAGCCAGTCCCACTCCTTTGCCTGGGACACAGTTGTGTTTAGCACTGGTTGGCACCCAGGGGTCAGCACATAGGTGGGCTGCACAACCCTGCTGAGCTGCTGGGAGGGGGTGGGGGAGCAGAAGTGAGCAGGGCAGAGAAGCCTGGGTTCCTTGCAAATGCCAGCCCTGTCCTCATGTCAGGCACTCCTGCCCAAGTGTTCACAGCATCAGCTCTTTGCTGCAGGCTAGAGCAGTGTCTTCATTTCACAGGGGAGGAAACAGGCTTGTAGCAGTTAGGTCACCTGTGGAGGATACACGGCTGTTTGCGTAAAGCACTCAGATTGGCCTGTGCCTGGTCATGGGAGCCATGTGAGGCTGGACTTGTGCAGACTCCTTCCGAGCCTGGCCTGCCTCTTCCCTGGTTGCTCTGTTTCCTCCTAGAGAGAGACTGTGCCTGCCACCCTCCAGACTGGCCCTGCCAGGAGAGTGCTGGCCTTGCCTCCCTCTCTATGCTCTGGGCTGGCGGCACCTCCCTCCACCTGGGCCAGGCTGCACTGCACCTGCAGGCAGCTTTTCTGTGTGCCCTGCGTGCTGTGGGCTTCTTCCAGGACGGGGGTCCTGGCTTACCTTGAGGGATGCTCACATCACCAGAGAGGAGGCTCTGTGGGCGTGGCCTGTGCCTCCTGAGTGCATCCTCACCCAGCTCCACCAGCCAAGCCACTGTGACCTGTGGTTGTCTTCTCTGTCTAGGAACTGACGCTGTCTTCCCACGAGGAGGCCTTGTCCTTTGTGTCCCTGGTGGATGGCTACTTCCGGCTAACGGCAGACGCCCACCACTACCTTTGCACCGACGTGGCTCCCCCACTGATCGTCCACAACATCCAGAATGGCTGCCACGGGCCCATCTGGTGGGTTCTGGTGTGCAGGCGGGTACTTCCTGGGACCCTGTTCTCTGTTCCCCTGCCTCAGCCTGGGCCAGCCCCCACGCATACATACCTATAGTGGGGTCTTGTGTCCCCTGGCCCTTTTCCCCCTCAGGGTCTAAGCCCCTTGCTCCTCTGCCACTGGCCGAGTGTTGTTGCCTTTATTCCCTGCTTCTCCATGTTGCACACAGTCTCCTGAGTCAGCCCGGGGACAAGTGGGGACTTTGAGGGTGACTTGGCCTGGAAGCCTCTGTGCCTGCAGCCCATCCTGAGGGGCTCTAGGTGGCCCTTGTTTCCTTGTGGCTGTGCCCACCTAAAGTGCAGGCAGACAGCTGCTTGCTTGCCTTCTGTCCTGCCCATCTGGAGCCGTGGGGGCAGCGCTGAACCCAGAGAAACCCTGGCTGCTGGGGCAGACTCAGGCTCCATGAAAGTGTCTTCCTCCAGCATTCACCAGCAGCTGTCTCCCGGGGCCTATCCCTGCTGTCCCTTGACCAGGAAAACTTCCTGTGGGAGTGGCCCAGCTGTCACCAGGCGTCCAGCCTGTTGTGCCCACTCCAGGAGTCTGTGTGGTGGTGCCTCTTTGCCCAGCTGCTCCATTCTGGCGCCCTCCCCTCGAGGCATCTGGGTCCCCTCCCTGCCATGCCAGCTCTGCATCTGCAGCCCTCACCCACTGTTGCAGAGCTGGCACCCCTGCGGGGCCTTCTCTGGGCAGGTAGCCTTTGTGTGGGCATCCTAGGTGCGCTTTAGCCCGTGTGCTGGCAGAGTGGTGCCCTGCTGTCTGTGGGCTGCTGGCCTGTGTCTGGCCAGTGCCTGTGGAGAAGTGCTCCCTGGACCAGTACCTGTGTGCTGCTCCAGCTGGCCGGTCCTGGTGTGCGAGGTGGATGGGGCAGGGCTCCCATTCCGATTCTGGACCTGCGCGTTTCGCTTGTGCGATCGAGCACTGCCACGAGCCAGGCCTGTTGTCCCAGGACACTAAGGAGACCGCGCCAGCTCTGAGGCTCCTGTCCCAGCCCTGGCCATACCCAGGAGAGCTGCAGACAGTGTCTCTGGGGACTCGGACACGTGCGTCTCTGGCTTGGGTGGCAGATGATGTCTGTCTGACTTGGCATCATGGAGGACCCTGGGAGCTGGGCAGGTGATGAGCTGGTCTTGCAGTCGTTGGCTCTGGGAGGCCGGTTTTGGGGTGCCATGTGTGTAGCTAAGCATCCTTGCCCACTGCTCTACAGCACAGAGTACGCCATCAACAAGCTGCGCCAAGAGGGCAGTGAGGAGGGGATGTACGTGCTCAGGTGGAGCTGCACCGACTTTGACAACATCCTCATGACTGTCACCTGCTTTGAGAAGTCTGAGGTCAGTCGGGATGCCCGTGTGACCCCAGACCATGGCACAGGGTGGCTGCTGAAGGAGGACTGAACCTGGCTGGTTGTTTTTGGCAGAGCCTACGCTCCGCAAGTCCTGTGTGGTCTGGTGGGAGTCAGCTGATGGGTAGCTGGCCCCTGCCCTTCCTTTGGTGGCCCTTTCCCCAGGAGCTGCTGGCAGGAGCGCTCAGGCCCAGAGACCAGCGATGGCCTCCTTTCCTTGCCAAAGTGGTTTCTCTGGGCTGAGCGGCAGCAGCAGCATGGCAGTGTGACGCTGTCTGTAGGCACAGGTGTGCCCCTCATCCTGTGGCCTGGTGTTATGCCCCTTACGGTGGCAGCCCTTTTCATAGCTCACTCGCCCTCTCATGGGAACACCTAAGCATGGTGTGTAGGCACTCAGGAACTGGCAGCAGAACATACCTCTGCTGTCCCCGAGGCCCTGATAGTGTTTATCTTGGAGTGGGGTTAGAAGTGCAGACACCCGGGGGCATCGTGTGCCCTTCCTCAGCACCGTCACGTTCACACGTGGGCTCTGGGCCGGCTGCTTCCGGTCGTCTCTCTGACAGCAGGCGCTGGGTGGCCAGAAGCAGTTTAAGAACTTCCAGATCGAGGTGCGCAAGGGCCGCTACCGCCTGCATGGCTCGGACCGCGGCTTTCCCAGCCTGGGGGAGCTCATGAGCCACCTGAAGAAGCAGATCCTGCGCACGGACAACATCAGCTTTGTGCTGAAGCGCTGCTGCCAGCCCAAGCCCCGGGGTGAGTGACCCAGCCAGCTGGCACGTGCTGGCTAGGTTACAGTCCTCCTATGGTGGTGCGTGTCCCAGGTCAGGCCCAGCTGACATCTTCTCCCTCCTGGTGTGGTTTGTAGCCTGCAGCCTGCAGCCTGCAGAAGGAACATGGCTGTGCCAGCAGGGGCTCTCATTTTCCTTCTCAAAACAGAGCATCCTGAGAGCTCCCAGTCCTGGCGTCCCTTCCCTGAGAAAGCTTCCTGGTGTAGCATCTGTGGGCCCAGAGCTGCTTTGGATGTGAGAGTCAGACACGCTGAGGCGGGGCCCTGTGTCTGGGCTTCTAGCCTGGCTCAGAGCCTGCTGCAGGGGGTGTAATGGGGATCAGCGCACATGGATGCATCATGCCTGGAGTAGGGCCACTGGCCAAGACCCACTGCGAGGAAGAGGAAGTGGGGAGGAGGGGAGGAGGAGGGGTGGGAGAAGAGGAGGCCTGAGCCTGTGGACGGCTCATGAGTGGTTGCTGGTCAGGTGGGGCAGAGAGCTCCCTGTGGGCAGGGCTGCAGGAAGGGGCCTGGAATCAGTGTGAGGGAGAGCAGCGTGGATGTCTTGCTGGCAGACACTCAGAATGTAGGGGTTCTGGGGATGGGTGTGTTGGGGGGCCTGACAAGGGCCTCATCTCACAGATAAACTGAGGCCAGGAAAGGTATGTTTGTTCCCCACAACACTGTCGAGTCTGCCCAACTGCCAGGGCCTTGAAGTGTTGGGGTTTTGCCATTTGCCCCACCCCCACCCCTGGATGCCAGGTCCCCCCTGGAAAGGCTGGATGGAAGGGCGCGGGCTGGGAGGACACTAGAGGAGATGACCACGTCTCAACATCTCATTGGGAGGGCAGAGTGGGCCCTGGTCTGGAGGCCATGTTGCGGTCAGCAAGGGCACGTCACTGCCCATGGTAAAAGAGAAAGGCTTATGTCCTGCTGGCCTTAGGGAAGGGCTCTGCTCATGCTTGAAGGTGGCCCGTGGAGCTGGAAGCAGCTGCCACTTGGCTGGAGATGGTTCTGTGCTGCTCTTGACCCCTCAGAGGCCACCTACAGCCTGATCTGGAGGAGTGTTGGGGGGAAAGAGGAGAACCAGCCTGTCCTGTACGGCCTCCCTCCGCTCTGTGCCCCAGGTCAGGTCTGGGTCTCAGCAGCAGCATCTTCCTTTGGCTCATACAGCTGTCAGCGGTGCAGAAGTTGATGCTCAGAAACACTTGCTCAAGGGTGTACTACAGTTGTTGCCAGTAGCTCTCCTGTAGGGGGAGATATGCCTATAGACCTGCAGTTTGCCCGGGTCTTCTTGGAGGATGCTTGCAACCATGTTTAAATCTGTGGGACACCCCAAGTGCCGCTACCCCACCCAGTTTGCCCCGGATCATCGCGTAGGCACAGGTGGCTCGGGCACCAGAATTCTCCTGCTCCGTCCCAGGCTTGTTGAGTCCCTGTGTCAATGCTGTCTTGCAGAGGTGCAGGTGCCATGTGCCCAGCTTGGGGACCCCAGGTAGGGCCAGAGAATGATGGCGTGGCAGTTGGCAAGCAGGCATCTCCTGTTGATGCTCCCAGCCCCTTCTCCTTTAGTGCTAGAGGAGGACGAGACCATTGGCGAGGGTCTGACTGCCTAGCCCTGGTGGCCAGGCTCCCGAAGCAAAGTGAAAGAGCAGGGCCGCATAGAGTGGGTGTGGAGGTCCCTGGTGCCCCGTGGTCACCTTGGATCCATAGCAGCCCTGAGGAAAGAAGGGGGTCCTGGGGCTCGTGTGAGCTGGGCTTGCCGTTGCTCAGGAGGCTCGGGGTCCCTCCGAGCTTTGCTGAGGGGATGCTGGGAGTGTGCCTCCTCGTGGGATCCAAACCCTGGCTGACCTGCCTTCTCCCCAGCTTCCCTCCACCGTTGCCCTGCTGTTTGGTCCAGTGTGGAGCAAGTATATTTTAAGGGCATAGCTCTGTGGGGCCATGCGTTTTGGTTTGTGTTGCTGGGCCAGCCTAATCCTGTGTGCACCAAGCACTAGGCCGTGTGCCAGAGCAGGAGCAGGGCCCTGGCCTCTTGGTGTTTCCGTGTGGAGATGGAGAGTTTCCCCCTCCGCACTCCAGGCTGGCCCACCCCCGCTGCCCTTGAGGGATGGGGCAGCACACTGTAGCCCCATGACTGGTGGGTTATTTAATGCCTCTGGCCCCCTGTTGGCCTGTGAGCCCCTGGGCCTTGTGGATCCAAGTGCTGACCCCAGAAGCATGTTCTGAGTGACAGCTGACATGTGGATAGTCCCATGGCTGTTGTGAGCAGCTGGCTAGGGCTCCCACCCTTGTGTACCATGCACAGACTTCCCTAATTTCTTCCACAGAAATCTCTAACCTGTTGGTGGCCACAAAGAAAGCCCAGGAGTGGCAGCCCGTCTACCCAATGAGCCAGCTGAGCTTTGATCGCATCCTCAAGAAGGATATCATGCAGGTGAGTCACTGGGTGGATCCTGGAGGGAAAAGCCCAGCCCTGGGGAGGGGGTTGTGGTGCAGAGCAGCCCTTCTCTTCACACAGAAGGGGTCCCCTGAGACCCCGTGTGCCCTGTCTGGGGGAAGTGGGTTAGTGGGTATGTGGGGCACTGGCCAGGGGGCCCGGGCACAATGTGTTCCTTGGAGCTGGGGTGGGCAATGGGCTTGGGTCTGTCCAAGGGCGTCCCAGTTTCCCTGCTGAGTGCTGTCAGCATTGTTGCCTGGCCCTCTGGTGGGGCCAAGAGCTTCCCTGTCTGGAGGCCCCAACCCCAGGGCCACAGGGCCATGGCCTACATTCTGTCTGGGACCCAAGGGCACCGAAACTGTCTTTTTTGCCCATGCCATGCATGTGTGCCCAGTCTGCAGAGAGCAGTGTGCCTGTGGCTGGGTGCTGGGTGCTGAAGGGAGCTCGCAGCATCGTCATCAGGACAGGTGTCCCAGGTGGCCAAGTGAGCGGGTGTGGGACCAGCAAGGACCTCCTCTTGGAGAAAGCCAGGCCAGCAGCAGTGGGGAAGGGCAGGTGGAATGGGCATGCGGGCCCTAGTGGCCACAGGTGGCATGGTCCAGTGCCCTGTGAGTTGCCCTTGGGCACAGCTTCTGTGAATTGAGGCAGAGTGGGCCTGTGACCATTCTGCTATGATGGATGACAAATGGCATTTGTGCAAATTTGGAGCGTAAGACTTAATTTCATGAAGACACATAAACAGGGTCTAGACCCATGTTTATTTTTAGGATATTTCTGTTGAAGAATTAGTAATTTTTATTTTATCAGTTTTATCATATTAAACAGTGAGTACTTACAGGAAGAAATGAAGTTTTAAGTTTTTAATATTAGTTGAGTGTTTATAAAAAAGCATCAGAGTTTTCAATATCAGCTGGTTTTTGGTGTACAAAGTCTAGAAAGAATATCAGAATAAATTCCCTCATGAACTACAATGAAAATATCAGTAACACTCTATAAAAAAAGACTCTTCAGGGCTGTGGCAATTGCTTGGTGGTCTGAGTGCCTGCTTGGCAAGCACAAGGACCTGGGTTCGGTCCCTGGCACTGCATGCCGAGCTAGCCTTGGACGCCGTGCTGGCTGCTGAAACTGGACATGGTGGCGCACACCTGTAATCCTACTGCTGGGGAGGCTGAGACAGGAGGATCACTACGAGTCTGAGCTATGTGGCAAGACCCTGTACTAAATATATAAATATTAAACTAATAATCTTGAATTAATCACACCTGAGGCAGTCCACACATGACAGTGCATGCACACTCCATCCACATGCATCACTAATGCTGGCCACGTCTTACTTTCTTGGCCTTTTGCAGGACATACTTGACCTCTTGCTGTTCTTACCGTGTTATACAGTATGTAGTTAGCAGGAACATAAAATACCTGTAAAGTGTTAAATTCTTAGCATGCATTGTGTATTTAGAATAGAGAACATTTGCACATCAGCTATCTACTTCCTTATAAAACCTAATAAAAAAACTGGGTGTGGTGACACATGTATGTAATCCCAGCACTTGGGGCTGAGGCAGAATTGATGAGAGTTTGAGACCAGCCTGGGCTACAAAGTGAGCTCAAGGCCAGTCTGAACTGCATAGCGAGACCCTTCTCAGACCAAAAAAGCAACTCTTCAACCCCCCCAATAAAACAACCCCTAAGCAATAACATCAGAAATAAATTCCTATATGAACTCCAATGAAAATACCACAGAAACACGCTTTGTTTCAATTGTCACACCCAAGGCAGCCTTCACACGTGACGACTGCAGGTTCCACGTACACATCTCGCCTACACTGACAGCGCGTGTGCTTAGCTTTCCTTTCCTGTGTGGCCGTCTTGTCACCTCTGTTCTCTTCCTGTTTGCCAGGAGCTTTGTACTATAGTGTACAGTGTGCACTGAGGGAAGTAAGATGCTAGTAGCAAGTAGGTAGTGCCGGCTTAGAACAGACCTCCGCGTGTCCACGTCAGCTGGCTACTTGTTTACAAAACCTGGAAGATCATGTGCGAGCTACAGCGTAGACACAGAGGCCTACAGAAATAAGCCTGCTTCTACTGGCACAGCCCAGGCGCTCCTCACACGTGACACCCGCGTGTTGCACGCACAGCTGTTGCGACGCTGGCAGCACAGCTGTGGTCTTCCTGTCCTTCCTTCCAGGACGCAGTGACGCCCCTTTTCCTGGTGCTGTCGCGGGCTTTGCGATGCTCCTCGTGCCGCGCCCCTGCCATCCCCCTGCGCGGTGCTCCTGTGTAGCTCCCGGGCAGCAACGGTTTGCTTTTCCTCCGCCATAATGATCTCCTAGGAATGCCAGTCCCCGTTCTCTAAGGAAATTTCTCCTTGATGTTTTGCGCTTGTTATTTTCTTTCTCAAACTTTTCTTTAAAAAAAGAAACGATGCCACCCATGTTTAGGATCAAGTGGAAGCCAGCCGTTGGCCAGTGCTGTGGGTTTCAGTAGCCTAGCTGCTGGGTAACTTAACTCGTCAGCAGCTTCTGCTGCACTCTTGCTGTGGAAAGGTCCGCTCAGCCTTCCGTTTGTCGAGGTGTCCTCGTCAGGATTTCTGTCGTGGTGCAACGCTGACGGCAGCACCGGTTTGTTTTTCTTTGCCATATACGAGGCCAATGTTACATCTTTGTGAAATCCAAAGATTTACGCTTCTCTGTTTTGAATCGCAACGTTTCATTTGGGATTTCTGCTTCGGTCCTGCGTGTGGTCCCTGCTCTGGTTAACTGGTGCTGCGTCAGCAAATGTAACATCCATTGGAAGCCGTAAGCCAGTGTCCATTGTCACGTTCCGATTACTTTGGGAGATGGGCGCAACAAGCCTGCTCACACATCCTGGGTTTATTACTTAGGAATGGGGACCTGGCGGCTGAGTTTAGGATAAAGGTCTAAAGTGGAAGCATAAGAAGTCTTCCCACCTACAAGGGCATACATTTTATGCTGTGTTTTGACCCATCACTTTTCCATAAATCTTTTATATTTCTGCAGTCACCAAATAAATCAGTGCTAAGCTGGGGAGATAGCTCAGTAGCATAAGCACCTGCCTGGCAAGTGCAAGGTCCCGAGTTCAATCCCCAATATATATATTAAAAAAAAAGTAAAGAGAAATCAGTGCTAAGTATAGCAAGCCTTTTTAGTTTGGCTAGCAAGGTGTCATGATAAATACATTTTTTAATACAGCTGCTGGTGCACGCAGAATGTTTAACTTGCACTTTAGCCTTTGTGTTTCATGTTAGTCACCAATGGCTAAAGCCTTGGTCCAGCAGACACCCCTTATTTTCCACTGTGACTTTGTACTTTACTGTCGTCACAGTGGGCTGTGCAGCTCAGTGTCTTTCTCTGAGGGACACAGGAAGCAGTGAAGGCACTTGGCACGATTAGTGGCAAGGAGCACGCGTGTGTGTGAAAGTGGCAAAGCGGGATTCTTACCATGTTACAGTTCATCTCACTGGTTTTCTGTCTGTTTACGTGAGCATCACAAAGTGTCCAAACTCAGGCATCACTCCGTTCCAGGATTTGTTTTTTTCAAAAAGGTTTGTTTTGATTTTTCTGGTAGAAATAGTCTGTTCAGTGACTAACAGTTGTCTGGTTCCTGTGGGTGCAGGGTGATTCCCTGGGTGTCTGCCACAGTTCACTTGCACCTGTAGGAGTCCTGGACTTGGTATTTACACATGTGTGCTGAGGACCACCTCCTGATGTGGAGGTTTCATGAATTGCGTTGTGATTTCCAAATATTAAGAATGGAGGAGAAGCCCTGAAGCACAAGTCAGAGGGGCCCTCAGAGAGAGACAGTCCCACCAGCAGCCCTCGTGGCACCCCTTCCACTTAGGCTGGGGAGGAGTCCCTCTGTCCCCTAGCCTGCTTCTGCCTCCATGCTCAGTCACCTTTTCTGAAGGGGGCATAGGTGCAGCCCCATGGGCATCAGATCCACCATGGCTTCAGAGCAGCCCAGTGATGCAGAGCTGGGAGGCAGGTGGCAGAGCAAGAAGTTTTGTCCCCAAGAGTGAAGGGACCTGGGTATCTTCCTGTGCTTGCCTGGTACCTGGGGCTGCTCTCCGCCAGTTGTGGTAGTCGGTGTGGGCCCAGGAATCTGTCTCCAGGGACAGGAAACAGCGCCTGTGCTGGACAGGCAGCTTTTGGGTTCTGCTGCATATGGGACAAGGACAGGTCTCGGGAGGCTGTGAGCCTGGGCCCCTACCCCTTCCCTCTGCAGCCAGGGCTTCCACTTGGACTTAGTGGCAGACACGGCCAGCCATCACAGCCACCATGAGGTCACTGCCTTCTGCTTCCCTCCAGGGCGAGCACCTTGGCAGGGGCACACGGACACACATCTACTCCGGGACGCTGGTGGATTACAGGGATGATGAGGCAGCTACAGAGGAGAAGCGGATAAAAGTGATCCTCAAAGTCCTCGACCCCAGCCACAGGGACATCTCTCTGGTTGGTGCCTCCCTGGTCTAGAGAAGCCCGCCTTGCACTCAGAACCCTTTCCTCAGCACAATCATAGCTGCCTGGCCGGTCGCCCACCCTGTCCTATCTGAGGTTCCACGTGGTCTCAGCTCCCACATCAGTGGGCCACCTGCCTCCCTGGAATGCCATGGGCCCCAGAGGGACATGGCAGGGTTGGTGTGGATACCTGCTGCCTCAGTTTCCCATTCATTCTATTTATTTATTTATTTATTTATTTATTTTTTTGCGGAACCAGGGATTGAACTCAGGACCTTGTGCTTGCCAGAGAAGCACTTAACCTACTGAGCCATCTCCCTGGCCCCTTCCCATTCATTCTAATACGGCAGCCAGCTCTGCATCCAGTAGCATTTTCTAAACCAATCTTATGGCGGTCAGACTGGCCCTGCACTCACAGGTTAGGGACCATTATGGCAGGGGTGGTGACAGCACAGCCCTAGCCGTCCCTCCGCCCCACTCTTCCACAGGCCTTCTTCGAAGCAGCCAGCATGATGCGGCAGGTGTCTCACAAGCACATCGTGTACCTGTACGGCGTGTGTGTGCGGGACGTGGAGAGTAAGTGTGCGGCTGGTGCAGTGGGGCAGGGCTCAGCAGCTGGAGTCCCTGCCCTGCTTGGTTCCTTAGCACCTCTTCCTGCTTCAGGTACAGCCTGTGCTGGGCTGGAGGCTAAGGCAGGCAGGGACTCTGCCTCTGGTTCCTGGCACATACATTTGAAACTAAGATTCTTTTTTTAATCATCCCTGTGTATGCTGGATTATTTTCCTTTGTACTCAGCTACATATTCACCCATCTTGTTATTTTGGATTTTGAGATGGGGTCGTATTAAATTCCTCCTGTGTCCAGGCTAGTCCTGCTTGGCCTCTCAGAGTGCTGGGATGACAGGTCCCGTCCCCCCCCCCCCCCCCCCAGTTGAAGGGAGTTTCTGTTCCTTGAGGGCTTTGCTTCCTGGTGCTCTCCTGTGAGTTCCTGGAGCTGTTCCTCCTTTGTGTGGGGAGGAGCAGACATCAGGCAGAGCTGGCCCTTCCCTGTGTGACCACGCAGGGTCCCTCAGACTGGCAGGTGGGGCCTGCTGTCAGCACGCCCATGGATGAGGGCCATGACCTCCAGAGCTGTCCCTTCTGAAGACATCTGGTTAGAGTAGAGTGGGGTACCAGGTCTCTGCGGGGTCCGGCATACATACCTGTGTGTGCATGCGCGTGTGCACATGTTTGTGGCCCAGGCCCTACACTGTGGAGGCTCTGTGGAAAGGGGTGACCCTGTCCTGAGGCGGAAGCATCCAAAGGGCTGTGTCTGCTGCAGATATCATGGTGGAAGAGTTCGTCGAGGGGGGCCCTCTGGATCTCTTTATGCACCGCAAGAGTGATGTCCTCACCACCCCTTGGAAGTTCAAGGTTGCCAAGCAGCTGGCCAGTGCTCTGAGTTACTTGGTGAGCAGGGGCTAGCCATGAGCCTAGAGCTCAGTGGGGATGGCCACATGGGCCATGCTGTGGGTGGGAACTGCTGTTCTCGAGGTGTACATGAGGCGCAGCACCACAGTGCCTGGGTCGACCTGCCTGGGAGCTGATGCCTGTCGTGCTTCTCCTGGGCCTGTGTCACTGGTGGGGACTTGTGGCCTCAGGGCCCTGTGCAATTCCCATAGTACATGTGATCGTGTAGGGTGGGGAGGGAGGACTGGCTGGCCAGATGTGGCCCTCATCCTACAGGAAGACAAAGACCTGGTCCACGGCAATGTGTGCACCAAGAACCTCCTGCTGGCCCGCGAGGGCATCGACAGCGAGGTTGGTCCATTCATCAAGCTCAGTGACCCTGGCATCCCCGTCACCGTGCTGTCCAGGCAAGGTGCGTCTGTCAGGAGGAGGAGGGTGGGCTGGCTCCACTGTCCGTACAGAGCCACTGGGAGGGTCCTGCGCTGTGGGCCTCTGATAGCTGGGCAGTCCCTGGGTCCTGCCCTGTGATCAGCAGCTCTGCCAGACGCCTGGGCAATGGGGGCAAAGCTTCACTCCCAGCACCCTGAAGGTACTGTGCTGTGTTCTCACTGCAAGCCATAGCTCCATGTACTGAGGCCTATCGTCTTCGAGCTGTAGGGTGGAGCTACTTGCGGCCTACAAGGGCAGACAGGGTCTGAGACACAAGTCTGGATCATCCAGGGGAGAGGGCAACGTGGGCCTGTAGGCGGTGGCTGTGCAGGGACAGAGCATGTCCTCAACATCCTCACGTGGACTACAGGCCCTGCTGAGCCCAGGGCCAATGCGAGAAGGGCAGGCCTGCCTTCCTCTGCTGCTGCGCTGGCAGCAGGGTCACTGTGAAGGCCACAGGCAGGCCTTGGGTAGCTCTGCTGGGCCTGGCTTAAGCTCTGCAAAGGCTGCCAGCTCTGCCCTGCGTAGAGGCTATAGAGGGCTCCAGGAACAAGGGAGAGAGGGTTTCTGGGCCTGCCACCGTGAAGCTCCTGTGGGCTTGCCGTGCATGGGGCAGGGCCTCTGCGGCATGCCTCTCCTGACTTCTCTTTCTTGAGCCTCTCCTGACTTAGGTCCCTACCCCATGGAACCCCTGCTGCCTATGAGGCTGCACCCCTCCTAGGGGTTGTTGTAAATGATGTCCCTGGCCCTGTAGCTGAGCTGGGAGGACCTGAGAGTGAGGCCTGCCCTGGGGTTTCTCCCCAGAGTGCATCGAGCGCATCCCCTGGATCGCGCCCGAGTGCGTGGAAGACTCCAAGAACCTGAGCGTGGCCGCTGACAAGTGGAGCTTCGGAACCACGCTCTGGGAGATCTGCTACAATGGCGAGATCCCGCTCAAGGACAAGACCCTGGTCGAGGTGAGCAGCTATTCCCAGCCCTCAGGATGCGCAGGGCTCCGGAGAGCCTCAGCCCCAGCTCGTGGCTGCGGAACTGTGTTGGGAGTCTGTGTGTGCAGTCTGCTGTGCCTCGGGTACAGAAAACAGACGTAGGTTCCTCCTCTCGGGGCCTGGGGGTGGCAGGGAGTGGCTGGCACACACATGGGAAAGTGACGCTCAGAAGCAGGCTTCAGCTACACACAGCAACTGCAGCGCATGGCTTCTTTGGAATTTTTAAAGTATCAATTATTTCTGAAGTTTAGGACAATAGAGTAATTAAAATTTTGGAAAATAGAAAAAACCATTTAAAGTCATCTCTGATTACTGTTAACACTTAGGCATCAGTCTTCAGTCTGTGTGTATCTCTCTTTAGGAGGAGGACTATACTAGGTACAGTTGTGTTTTCTTTCCTATGAGACAGAACAAATCCTCAGTTTTTGCAAGTGTAACCTGGGTGTGTCATTTTGTTTTAGCTGACTCCCCCACTGACCTGCTTCTGTCTTTGGGTCCCTTCCTGGTGCTCACTGAGTTGCCTGGCCTGGGCTCAGACCTCTGAGCCTGCCCGTGGTGGGCACTGCAGGTCACAGGGCAGCAGGCCGAGCTGTTACTCCCCAGGCAGCCAGCTGCACAGCATGCTGGGAGAGCACCTGGCACAGATGCTGGCATCTCCCAGGCAGAGGCTGAAGCTTGGTGGTAGCTCTCGGTTTCTGCTAAGCTTCCTTCCTTGCAGAAAGAACGGTTCTACGAAAGCCGCTGCCGGCCAGTGACGCCATCCTGCAAGGAGCTGGCTGACCTCATGACCCGCTGCATGAACTACGACCCCAACCAGAGGCCCTTCTTCCGCGCCATCATGAGGGACATCAACAAGCTGGAGGAGCAGAGTGAGCCACAGTGGGCCTGGAGGGTGGAGGCAGCTGGGGGTGAGGCTGCTGCCCAGCACTCACCTCTCTTTTCTTCTGTTAGATCCAGACATTGTTTCAGAAAAAAAACCAACCACTGAGGTGGACCCTACGCATTTTGAGAAACGCTTCCTGAAGAGGATCCGCGACCTGGGAGAGGCAAGTGTTCCCTGCTGGTGGGCTGGGGTGTCCTCTACTTGTGGCAGTCACAGGCCACCTCCTGGGGTACGATTCTCCCTCACTGCACAGGCTGTGGGATGTGTGTCTGTATCGGTTACTTTTCTCTTGTTGCTAGGACAAAATACCTGACACCCAACATTAAGGAAGGAAAGGTTTATTTAGCTCACAGTTTTGTGAAGGTTTCAGTCTGTACTTGGCTGGCTCCCAGGCAGAGGGCACATGGTGGCAGGAAACAGCAAAACAGCAAGGGCAAAAGGGAGGAGCAACTGCAGCATTGGCTGTAGCAGAGAGCAAGCCTCTCTCCCTTCTTAGTCTCTCTCAGGCTATCCGTGGGGGTGGCACTCACTCCCATAGTCCCAGCTTTGGATCGTGAATTGATCACAGACTCCAGAAGCCCGCCCCATGACTGCATGAGCCTTGGGGGCACAAACAGACACAAACCATAGCAGCACTGCCTGCCCACGTGACCAGGTCATAGCTTGAGCTTCCCTGGGGACAGATGTGGTAGATGTAGGGAACCTCTGTCTGCCTGTCTGGGGATTACTGCTCCATGGAGCTGTGGTGTGGGGACCAGTGCACAGTGCTGAATATGCCAGCAGCTCTGCCCTTGGCTCTCAGATACCTGTCCGGGGCAGTCGGACTAGAGTGGCATTGAGGGTTTTGGTCTCTGCACAGCCTACTGTGGTCTCTGTCAGTGAAACAAGGGCTTCGGGGTCCTCTGAGTGTCGGTTCTGTATCAGTGGCTAGGTTGGGTGTTTTCATGAGCATGGGGTCGCATCGAGCTGTGGGAGGTAGGGACCCAGCTACCCACATTCCCCCTGGGTGGCCTGGCTTGGGTCTAACCCATGCATCTCAGGTCCCTAGTGCACAGGCCTGATCCACGGCGCCCCATGGGCCTGGCCCATTAGTCCCCTGTGGCTGCTGCCCTTTCCTGACTGAGACCAAGGCTGTGAGGCCAGGAGAGGAGGGGGCTGCCCAGTCTCCTGGGACAGCACCCGACCACACACACCTGATAGTCGCACGTTCACCCTGCACTCCAGGGCCACTTTGGGAAGGTTGAGCTCTGCAGGTATGACCCCGAGGGCGACAACACCGGGGAGCAAGTGGCTGTCAAGTCCCTCAAGCCGGAGAGTGGAGGCAACCACATCGCCGACCTGAAGAAGGAGATCGAGATCCTGCGGAACCTCTACCATGAGAACATCGTCAAGTACAAGGGAATCTGCACTGAGGATGGTGAGTGGCCACGCTCTCCCAGGCCGCGCCCTGCCCTAGTGTCACCCTGAGGGGCATGGAAGCAAGAGCACCCGCTGTGCCCGTGTCGGTGCTGGCATGGTACCCACGAAGCTGGTCGTGTACTGTCTGCATCAAGCAGGCGCTGAGTGGTCATAACCACAGCCCCATGGGGCTGCTGCTTTTTCCTTTGAGGTACTGGGGAGTGAACTCAAGGCCTCTGCTGAGCTGTATCCCGGGCTCCCATTTTCTTCCATCTTTTGTTTTGATACAGGCGCTGATTGAGTTGCCTGGGCTGGGCTCAGACCTATGAGCCTCTTGCCTCAGCCTTCTAGGTGTGGGTTTAGAGCCCTGCACCATGATGCCTGGCATGCCATTTATGAGACTTCTATTTTTTTCTAGGCCAGCTCCTGTATGTCCTTTAACACTGGGAGTGAAACCAGTGTGGTAACGTGTCTGTAGTACCAGGTGCTCAGAAGGCCGAGGGAGGAGGGTCATGAGTTTGAGGTCAGTCTGGACAACTTTCAGACCCTGTCTGAAAATCAAAATCAAAACACAGACAGTAAAAACAAACTGGTAGTGGAAGGACATGACTAACATTTTAGAAGTTCTCGTTTGCTTAGCATTGACAAGAGTGGAGGCTGTGCTGGCCCGGCTGGTGCTTGTGAGGAAGGCCAGGAACCCAAGTGTCCCAGCCCTCCCTGCCGGGGGCCAGCAGCACTGGGGCAGGTTCTTCCTATCCACCGGCCCTGAGTAGGACACGGCTTTCTCCTGCACAGGTGGAAACGGCATTAAGCTCATCATGGAGTTCCTGCCCTCAGGCAGCCTGAAGGAGTATCTTCCTAAGAACAAGAATAAGATTAACCTCAAGCAGCAGCTCAAATACGCCGTTCAGATCTGTAAGGTAAAAGCATGCCACCCCTGGCAGTAGGTGCAGCTGTGCCCATGTGTGGGTCCTTGATTTGTCGCCAGAGTAAAACATAGGCCCAGGGAAGAGAGGTATGAGGCAGAGCTGCTTTCGGGACAGAGCATGGCAGCGTGCAGGCGTAGAGCAGGAAGTCGGTAGTGTTGGGGGTCACTTTCACCGTGGAGCCGCAGGTGACCTGAGCAGTGCGCTTTGCCCACTGTCCCCCAGGGCATGGACTATCTGGGCTCCCGGCAGTATGTGCACCGCGACTTGGCAGCCAGAAATGTCCTAGTGGAGAGCGAGCACCAGGTGAAGATTGGTGACTTCGGGCTCACCAAGGCCATCGAGACTGACAAGGAGTACTACACAGTCAAGGATGACCGGGACAGCCCTGTGTTCTGGTAACGGAGCCGAGACCCAGGGTTCTTGCTGGTGAGGGCCTGAGCCTTTGCTCTGGCCCCACTTCAGGTTGGAGTACATTCGAAGCTCTCAGGGGGCGGAGTTCTGACTGCTGTGCAGGCGCAGCATGAGCCGACCTGAGCCTCGCTCCCCAGCCCTAACCTCCTGCTCCAGGAGCCGCCTGCTCCTGCCTCAGCATCTACAGGAGCCTGGAGCGGATAGGAGAGGCTGTGGGCAGTGTCATGGAGGCTCTGGCTCCCTTGCTAACAGGAGGGACACTGGCCACAGCTCCCTCTGCCCTGAGCCCTTGCCAGAGATGTCCCCACTGCAGCTCCTGTGAAGCTGACTGGTGCCCCCGGATGCACATCACAGACAGCACCCCCCACCCCCACCCGGGTAGTCAAGCCTGTGTCACTCCAGTGTATGCCAGCCCTGCACATGGGCCCAGCAGTGTGGGTCAGTCCAGTAGGCCTAGATAGCCTCAGTGTTTCTGGAAGCTGACGAGTTGAAAGGAGGGCAAGGCGGCTGTGGCAGATGGGACAGAAAGGGCAAGACACGTGCTGGACTGGCAAGGAAGCCAAGCTGGGGTGGGCATCATCCTAGGAGGAGAGAGACAAGATCTTGCAGGTGCGGAGGGAGGTGGCTGGAGCCAGTGATAGCATGAGGAGGCCTGGTGGGGACGAGTTTAGGAAAGCAGACTTGCATCCTGATACCTGGCTCGGCTGTGCAGGGTCGTCACCAGCATGCATCCCTGGGAGACTCGGGAGTGCAATCTCTGTGGGGGTGGGGAGGGTCAGATGTGCAGGAGCTCCACGTCCACCTCGGGAGCAAAGGGCTGCTGTCCTGAGCCGCTCATCACGCGTCTCAGTGCCTCCCTCCCCAGAACCATAGGCCGCCTGTCTCCTTTAGGTACGCGCCAGAGTGCTTAATTCAGTGTAAGTTCTACATCGCCTCTGACGTCTGGTCTTTCGGAGTGACGCTGCATGAGCTGCTCACCTACTGTGACTCGGACTCCAGCCCCATGAGCGTGAGTCTTGGCTCTGCCCCGCTCGGCTCTGGGCCACAGAGCGCCTCTCGACTGATGGGCTTCCTCCCACGTGGCCTTCCTTGCTAGTTTTAGTGTCTGATACTTAGGCTATGTCCACAGGATGACTCTGCTTTCCTGGGTCTGTTCCGTGTGCAGAGATGGGCAGCCTGGGAGGCCCACTCACGCCCCCTTGACTCTGGGCTGGGACTGTTCCCCTACACGAGCCCCCACTCAGGGCAGGGGTGGCGGGCAGCGCCCAGGACGGTGGTCACAGGCCGATCATGGGGGCCAAGGGGAAAGAAGCGATGTCATTGCTTTGATTTCCAGTTGGTTCTTGCAGTCCTTTGTTTTTTGTTGTTTTTGGCGGAACCGGGGATTGAACTCAGGCCCTTGCGCTTGCCAGGGAAGCACTTATTCTATTGAGCCATCTCCCTGGCCCCAGTCCTTTGGTTTTTATACAAGCGTGTGTGCAGCCAAGCGTTTTGTTGGGTCTTGTTTTACATAGCTGTTCCTGAAAATGATAGGCCCAACCCATGGCCAGATGACCGTGACAAGACTTGTGAATGCCCTGAAGGAAGGGAAACGCCTGCCATGCCCGCCCAACTGTCCCGATGAGGTACGTGGGCTGGGAAGTGCACTTCTCCAGGTTTTCATGGGAGGGCTGCAGGTCCGGGGCAGAGTAGAAAGTGTTTGCAAAGATACGACTGAGCCTGCGCTTGTGGTGGCACCTTGGAGACACTAACTTGGGTGGAGGCCAGGACAGCCACGGCAGGGCCTCTTGGGGTGTCACAAACCATCCCCAAATGAGGCTCTGCGGGCCTTCTTGTGAATCCCTGAGTGAAGCCATTGCGCGCATGTCATCCACCCACAGTGCATCACAGTGACTCCACATCCAGCAGCGTCTGGCGTGAACAGCCTCAGGACTGGCTCTGGCAGGCGGCTCCAGGCGGGGCCACCTATGTCCTTCGCAGCAACAGTGGCCACCCAGGCTTCACTGTCTTCATGTGGTCTTTAACTGTGTTCCATACGCTAAATCTCAGTTTCTGTGTTTAGATTATTGAAATACTTTATAGTCTTATTAGACACGTAGAATGGCTTTTCCCAAAGATATTTTTGCACTCAGTGCTTTTGTAATTTTTCAGACAGCTTCCTGATACATTTTCACATTGTCACTATTTTTCTTTTCTTTCCACTTTTTACAGGTTTATCAGCTTATGAGAAAATGCTGGGAATTTCAGCCATCGAGTCGGACAACCTTCCAGAGCCTTATTGAAGGATTTGAAGCACTTTTAAAATAAGAAGCAAGAATAATATTGAAATTCCATTGTTTATCAGACCCTCCTACCACAGCAAATACCCAAGACATTTGTAAAAATGGTGGAAAAAGCTTACATTCTGTCGGGAAAGCCCCACAGCGAGCTCTTGGCTGTACAGGCAACGTACACTGGGTGCCCACCACGTGGAGAAACCTCCTCTCCCCGTTGGGCACTTCTTAAGTCCAGTGGCCGATGGTGGCAGCCCAAGTCCCAGGAAGCACTCAAGCACTCCTCTTGGAAAGAAACCCCCGTTGCTCGGTCACGTGGCAAAGGGGGCGGGCGTGAGGGGGGCGACCAAAGCCTGTCTCCAGCCATTGCTCCGGTTGCTGTCTCCCCGGCGCCAGGCACCCGAATTGCTTTCTGGCCTGTTAACCTAGTAGGAACAGATGCCTGGGTGGCCAGTATGGCTACTGCGCCTCTCAGGACAGGCTGAACGCGCCAAGCTCCCAGACCCCTTTCTGTACTGCGCCCTGGCCCCTGTGGGACCGCAGCTTGGAGCAGGGCTTGGGTGGTGGCACTGCTGCTTCCACGCTAGCCCCTGGCACCACTGTTGTATGTCCTGGCTCTGCGCTGGGACAGTGTGGGATCTGCCCTGCTGCATGTGAACCTGCTGTGCCTATGCTGTCCCCAGTGTTTTCCTCTAGCCACACAGGCTCCCCGAGCTGGACGCTTGGCACACTTTGAAGACGCTGTCCCTGCAGCAGGCTGTGCCGGCCTGGGTGAATGCATGCACACGGGGAGCATGTGCCACAGCCCCCAGCCTCGCTGGTCCAGGCCTGAGCACCCACCTGCCAGACCACTCACTGCTCTGACCTCTGCCTGTGGTGCAAAATTTGCAAGAAAAGAGCTAGCCAGTGGTACTCGAGAGCTCAGGATGCACCCATCAGTTTTGGTTTGTTCGCCGGTAGTCGGGTGACCCAGGAGGTAAAGCTCTGATTTCAGTGTGAGCCATGAAGTTCTTTACCACATCTTGCTGTTCCCCTTCTGTGCAAGCGGTCAGGACTGCTTCCAGGAGGCAGTGAACTCACCTCTTTGGCCCTGTGTCCCCACTTCACAGCTCCTCTGTGTCAAACCTGTGGCCATTCTCTATGCACTTTGTTTACTCTTTATATAAATAAATGTACTAAGGGCTTCACGTGCAGGTGCCTGTCCTGGGAAGTGTTCCTCTGCATAGATCGCCAGCAGTTTACACATGCACAACAGTGACAGGTGGGGCTTTGCAGAGGCTCAGGCAGGCCCACACCTCGCCCCTGCTGGTCGCTTGTATTGGGTGGGCCCGTCGTCCATCCTGGGTGGTGAATCTGCGTGTACTGTGATCAGAACATCCCTGTTTCAGATTCTCACCCTCTTGCTCTTCTATTACAATTCTGACATGAAATCCACTATCCTTGCTTTCCTCTGCTTGTGCTGTCAAGGAAGGTGACCGAGCACTTAGGCTGCAAGATGCAGCAGGGAGGAAGGGCAGGGACAGCGCCGATATCACCACCTCCTGACATTCGCAGGGAGCAGGCTGTGCAGAGATGGTCCCCCCTTCTTAGCTGTCCTCCAAGCAGTGCACATGTAAGGTGGACCAAGGAAAAGTCCTTCTGATGCTTACAACACAGGCACAAATTTTAGATGTTCTCATTAAAGCTGGAGAGCGGCATCTTTGTCAAATACACCAACTCCCAAAATAAGGTATTTTACCGAGCTGACCCTGAACACCTGGCCATCAAGAGCCCAGATTCCTTCCACTGTAGCCTTAACACACTAGAGAAATGTAGAATTTCTAGATGTGAAAGGTGCTCATACATTTGATGGCAATCTTTAGAAATGGTGACATTTCTAAGCGTCATAGTCACAGTGATACACAAGGGGGTGAAACTGCTGACATCTCAGCCTTAACAGGCCCCGAGAGACGAAGCAGAGGGTAAGGTACGGCTTGCTGTCTCCAGCAGGTTGGACGCGCTCTTGTGAGGCGGGACTCCAGCAAAGGCAGCGCTGGCTTCTCTGCAGAACGATGAGACGGCTTGATGATAGAGGCGCAGAGCTGCGTCTGTGCCACACAGACTTGTCCCAGAGGCTGAAGTGGGTCTTGAGGTGACACGGCAGCACAGGGCATTGGCCACAAGGTCCAGGCGCGGCCGCACTCTCTGAAGGACTGGGCTGCGATCACCCTAGAGCTCTGCCCGTGCATGGCACGGCAGTGGCCACCAGCAGAGTGAGTGTTGGAGCCTGCATGGGTCCCTGGAAGCCGGGCTGAAAGCCGAGTTTCACGGGTGCTTCCCGTCTTATGTTTTCTCCATGTTCCAGCCACTGAAAACTGAACGTTCTCAATGTGAGGGTTTCAGTGGGTGGCCTGCCACACCCTGTCTTAGGCCACCAAGTTACTCTCCAAATGCTTCTTGTCCTGGAAGGCGGAGCTAACAGCTGGACCTCAGGCAGTCGCAGCAGTGCGCAGTGCTTCGGCCCACCCAGCTGGGGGCGGGGCATAAGGGACACGCGGCGTCGGGCGCTTACACCCTTACAGTGGCAGGAAGAGGCCTAAACATCCAGGCGTGAAGGCAAACCGAAATGCACATTGGCTTATAAGAAATTTGTTCTAAGGCTAAGGAAACCGCTGTTTCCCGTTTATTGCTTCAGATTTCATGTGATGTCAAAATTGTTCCCAGTCCTAAAACAAGGAATATTGGAACAGGGTTAGTTTTTCCAAAGAACTGTAAGTGAACGTCATATTCATTAAGACACATTTGATTCTGGTGCATCGTGTCCCCAGGGCATGTCTCTTGTTGCTGCTTGTGTCTCATTTGGCAGTTCTGCCGGCTGCATGACCCGTATGAAAGGCTCTGGCTAGTTGGGAAGTTAAGGCAGCGCTGGGCAGCTGGGACACTGCCGGGAACCAAGCAGGTGGCGTGGACTCCGCTCAGTAAACGCGCTTCTTCTTCAAGTAGGTCTCTATGTAGCACATGCCTGTGCCCTGCGTGTGCTGGTCCACGCAGTCCCTGGTGCCACCCTCAGGGGCGGTGAGCAAATAGGATGCGCCCCGCTTCTCAGTTCTGAGAGAGGACACCTGTGAGAAGACAAAAGCATGGGATTAAAGGCTGAGTTAGATGAGGGTAGAGATCAGACAGGTGACACAACATGGCCACACTCCATCACCGGATCCCAAGGAGGCCAGGCAGTGCACAAAATGTGAGGAGACGCTGAGCGAGGAGTGCTAGAAATCAAGGGAGGAAAGGATTTTAAAAAGAGTAGCAGGAAAATGGCAGAGTTGTGAACACTAGCAACTCTGCTTCTCGGATTCAGAAGCCAGACCCTGGAAGAAACATGGGGAAGGTAAAAGGGGAAGCAGACCCTGGAGCCAGGGAGGATCTGCCAGAGCTACAGCCTCCACAGACGCGAAGGGCTGGGCCCTGCAGCAGGTGGGTCGGCCCACTTTGTCCTGGCAAGTGGCTCCTGGACTGCAGGAAGGGAGCCACACCTCCAGAGATGGTGAGGGCTGGAGACTTAGGGCCCGGGAGTGCTCGGCTGTGGGAGGGGCTGGTGGGCCCTGTCCCCACGGGAGTCCTTCCATGGCCAACAGCTCGTCAGGGATTCCAGGCTGAGCACTTGCCGTATCCCAGGGGTGCTTGGGCAGGCATCATTCTGGGACAGGGTTGACACTGAGCGTGGAATGTGGGGCATTCCAGCACTTCAGAGCTCCCAGTGTTACCTACCCACAACTGGCAGAGGGACACACATGGGGAACGGCTACAGTGAGAGTGGGCTGGAAAGAGACCCCCCTGGGCACAAGCTAAAGGACACAGTCCCCACTGCTGTGGCCTGAGACCAGGCCCAGCCTGAGGCGCTCCAGCTGAAAGTCCCAGCATCGCACCCTCCTGCCTGTGGGTGCCAGCATCCCGCGAGGACCTGGGGTCTGACCACCCTCCTCCACCAGCGTGAGCAGGAACACGTCTTAACTCAGACACTGCCCCAAGCTGTGGATCCCAGGAAGAAACCACACGTGCAAAAAGCACAGAAAAAGTGTGCTGTTTGGCTTTGTTTTTTATTCACTATTTACTGGGATTTGGGGGATTTCCCTTTGTCTTTTTTCCTTGCTTCTTACCTCTTTTTCTAATTTCTCCCTTTTTCTCATATTTTTACTTTGTTTTTTCTTCCCTCTTTTATCTTCTGTTTCTCATCAGTTGTTACCTTTATCTAATCCTACAAATATCTTTCTGCTCCCCCAAAGGATCCTTTGTTCCATTTCTCCTCATATAGTTGAAGGTTCCATGTTTTTCTTCATAGTTTTGTTTGTTTTTGTATTTTAAGAAAGGGTATACAGGGTGTTCAAGGTCTTACTACCAAATCGGACTCATAGTGAGCCACCAGTTCACTCATAGTGAACTGCCAAGAGCTGGGATTACAGGCTCGCACCACCAAGCCCAGTCTCAATCGCTGTCTGAACACGCCCCCGGGGCGGGGCCGGCAGGGCCCGCTGGGGATCGAACCTCTCAGCCCCAGCAGCTGCTTGTAGGCACTTTAATCTGCTGAGCTACTTGGCCAGCCCTTCAGACTGTATTTTATTTATTTATTTATGTATTTATTTGTGTGTGTGTGTGTGTGTGTGTGTGTGGCCAGCTCAGCCTACCAGGGGGCGGGGCTGGTTGGCATGTGGTGCTGGGGATTGAACCGCGGTCCCTGTGCTTTACTAAGCTTGTTCTAAGTAGGTGCTTTAGACCACTGAGCCATCTCACCAGCCCTGGCCAGCCCTTCAGTATCTTTTAATAGTACAAACATGAAGCATTAATAATCTTTGGATAATTAAAAAATTATTGAATTACTTTCTGCCATTAGTGGAGATAATAGCTTTCACATTTAGTACAGATTACTGCCAGTATGTGTGTTGTTCTAATGTTTACATCACAACTGAGTTTTTCTCAAGAGTTCGGACTGGTACATAACTGGTTTTTCAGGTATGTTAAGACCCAGTTTGTCTTGGACAATACGAGTGAGTGTAGCTGATTTGCTTGACATTACCAGAATCAAGCCTGCCGCTACGGTGGGTTGTCTCTCTAAGCAAACAGCCAGGTTACATTTGCGCCATGGAAAGTACTGGAGTTCATTTCCCAGAGAACTTGGGGTTGTACGCATTTCTTCCTTCCCCAATTAACTGAGGTGCTCAAGTCCTGGTGCTGAGGTAGACTATAGCTAGCCATGTCCAGAGTGCCACTAAAGAGGTGTCTCTAGTAGGGACTGAGTACAGTGTGTCCAGAAACCACAGCAGAAAGGAGAACAAAGCAATAGACAGCATGGTTCCTGGAGCCCCCACCTGCTGCTTCCTAGTGTAGCCGGTCAAGACGGATGAGGACCCATGCTCCACGCTCTCGACCGGGATCGACCCTCGCAATAGAGGCTGTGACTCTCTGGGACCTGAACGATGACACAACAGAGCTGAAGCATCGGACACTGTCTCAGTTGTGTCATGCAGATGCCTCCTCCTGTGTCCTTTCTGCATAGTGCAGAGGTGATCTGGGGCTCCCTCCCCAGCCCAACTCACAGCACTCCCCTCGCTCGCTCGGGCCATCCTCACAGTCACTCATCCTCAAGCCTCTCTTTCATGAATGAATAAAGCTTGGGTTTGGGCCTGGGTCGAGGCCTTTGTTCCAGATAGCCATCATGGTGGCTGGACCTAGGGCCCCTGGGCTCCCCAAAACTACAAATACGCTTTAGTGTATTTTCGCCATGGGTAGCACTGGAAGTGGTAGACTGGAATTAACTTGACGGGATTCCAATAACTTCTCCATGGGATTACAAATACAAACTTCCCAGACCCAGACGAGGACCAAAAGGGCTCTGCAAATACCCTTTTGAGTAATCAAGGGATGATGTGAAATCCTGGAAGAAACTAGATCTGACGGATTAAATGATGATGTTAGTGTGACAGGTCAGATCTTATGGGACACAAAATATCTTAAGAGGGAAGTTTATAGCAATAAATGCCTACATCAGAAAATAAAGCAAGCACAAATACAAAAAACGTAATAGTGCACCTAACTGTTCTAGCAAAATATGGCCAATCCAAGGCCAAAGCTGGTACAAGGAAGTAAATTATAAAGCTCAAAGCCAGAAATTAATGAAATTGAGACTAAAAATATACAAACGATCAATGAATTAAGTTGGTTCTTTGAAAAGAATCAACAAAATAGACAAGCCTTCAACCAATTTTACCAAAATAAGGAAAGAAAAGACATCTATGCAATTAGAAATGAGAGGTGAAATCAACAGATTCTGCCAAAACCTAGCAGATCACAGGTAACAACTTTAAAAGCCTGTACTTTTTTAAGAAAATGGAATTTCAGTGTGCTGGCCAGATAGCTCAGCGGATTAAAGCACCTGCGTAGGAAGACACAGAGGCTAGGATTTCAATCCCCACCTTGCTGTGCTGGCCCCACCACCAGGGACACTGAGACTGGGTGTGGTGGCACATGCCTGTAATCCCAGCGCTTGGGAGGCTGAAAACAGGAGGATCACTACAAGTCCGATCTGTGTGGCGAGACCCTGTAGACGCAGAACTAAATACATTTAAAAATAATAAATTTTAATTAATTTATTTATTTTTGCAGAACCGGGGATTGAATTTAGGCCCTTGTGTTTGCCAGGGAAGCACTTATTCTACTGAGCCATCTCCCTGGCCAAAATAAAATAAAAAAAAATAAAAAAGGGGCCAGGGAGATGGCTCAGTAGAATAAACTCTTCCCTGGCAAGTGCAAGGACCTGAGTTCAATCCCTGGTTCTGCAAAAAAATAAAAAATTAAAATTAAAAAAAGTGGAATTTCAGAAGAAACCGATTCCTAGCTACACATGAACTGCCAAAGCTGAGGTGAGAGCATATGACAGTCCTAATCCAGTATCAGCCAATGAAAGTGAAGAAAAAAACTACTAAGAAAAGGCAGATTCACTATCAAAGTGCTTTAAGAAGATTGACTCCAACACTCGTCAATCCCTTCAGTGAAATTGAAAGGGAAGCAGTACTCCCAAAGTCATTCTTGGACGCAAGCGTTACCCTGACTCCAAAGCCTGAAAAAAGACCCAAACAAGAACAAAAGCTGCAGGCCAGTATCTTTAATGAACACAGATGCAGAAATCCTCAATAAGATCCTGGCAAACAATGTAGCAAATCCTCAAAAAGATACAATGACCAAGTAGGATTCATTCCAGGGTTGCAGGGATGGTTTAACAAGCATAAACCAATATACGTAATCTGCCACATAAATAAAAGCAACGTTATTATCTCACAAAAGGCATTTGATGAAATCTAACATCTATTCATGATAAAAGGTCTCAAAAATAGTAATAGAATACGCCCAACATGATGAAGATATCAATGACAAACCAGTGGCCAAAAATCATGCTAAAGGGAGGGACTCAAAGTTTTCCTTATAAAATGGGGAACAAGGGCTGGCGAGGTAGCTCAGCAGACTAAGTGCCTGCCTAGGCAAGCACAGCCACTTGGGTTCGATCCTTGGCACCACATGCTGCACAGCCCCGCCCCCAGGTGTACTGTGCCCTTTAGGCAAAGGAAGGTACCTCCTGTTCCTAAAGGCAGACTGAACGTAGTCAAAATGGCCATACTTCCAAAACTGTTAGATTTAACGCAATTCAATCAAAACACCAATAGCATTCCTCACAAAAGTAGAGAAAATCCTAAAATTCATACAGAACAAGAAGAGATCCAGAATACCCAAAGCAAGTAAGAGCGCAAGGGGATGGGGGCAGAGGGCACAACATTCCTGTATTTCTTTTTTTTTTATTTTATTTTTTTATTTTATTTTATTTTATTTATTTTTTTTTGTGTGTGTGGCCAGCTCAGCCCACCAGGGGGCAGGGCCGGCTGGCATGTGGTGCTGGGGATTGAACCGCGGTCCCTGTGCTTTGCTAAGCTTGTTCTAAGTAGGTGCTTTAGACCACTGAGCCATCTCACCAGCCCCAACATTCCTGTATTTCAAGTCCTACAAACCTGCAGTGATAAAAACTCCATGGGATTTGGCAAAACAGCCGAACAGATTTGTGGGTCAGCAGAACACTGAG